CCGCAGAATGTAAATCCGCTCCGACGGAACGAGTCAGACGTTTGACTCCTGACGAATACGTTTCGTTTTCGCAGAATGCTTCGCTGACGTCATGCGAAGCTTTTTATGGAGTCCTTTGGCTTTGATACGCGTGTTATCGTTCTCATGCTTTTCTGACATCTTACGAGTAGCTCGCTCCGATGAGTAATTCGCAAACGGAGAAAAAGGTCGATCCTGAGCAGCAAACTTCCGCGAAAACAATCGAGATCCTCTGATGTATTTGTTGATGAGAATTTTCTCCCATGGCCGAGTTTTCTCCTGGGACCCTTTTCAAGCTTCGGATGAAGGGGGTTGGGGTTGTGCAATCCGCGAGGAACAGATCCCTATGCCAGACAACTCGATTCAGTGGCAGTCCCCCTGATGAATCGTCAAGATTCAGTCCCTGGATCAGAGTCGTTAATTTCGTCAAGACTCTCATCCGTCAGACGGTCTGCGAAAGTACCAAACGTCGCTAATACATATTAGCAAAAAGCTCAAGCATCGCTTAGGGTGCTGAGTATGATCGAGTCGATGCGGTCAAAGGAGCGCCGAGCGAGTCACATGCTGTAGCCGAATGCGGCATATAACGTCACGCATGGGCCCATAAGATACCGTAGTTTTGGTTCACTGTCAGACGCGGCTCCATTGACATCAAAGACTCCTCGCTGATGAACGACTTCTCTCAATCGTGTGCCTACTGGAACACTAGATTGGGGCCTTACATCCGTGCGGCACACTGCACGTTATTCGGCGGCGGCGTCGTCGCATTGTCTTCTTAATGGACACGTAGGCGACCGCAGCGGCAGGCTCTATGCCGACGAAATAAGGGCACAGGACGACCGTATAGTTACCGCTGGCGTTTCCCTATCCCTCTCTGTTTGAATGCTCATTCATGCGGCCGATAGGCCGGTGACATAGAAAGTTCTACGCCTAGACGAGGTCCGCCGCGTGAGAGCCAGTGAGGAACACGAGTCCCCCTTTCTCCCCATGTGGATAGGGTACGATTCGGGTTGCGATGATTAATTCGTTTACGGTTCGGACTCTACTCGAGAACAAGGACCTCATGAGAATAGCCCTATGTCGTTGAATGCGAGCGGTGACCTGCTTATGGCGCAGTCCCCGGCGAGATGAAAACTTTCCGTCGGAATTGTCGCTCGTCAAATCGATGTACTCAAACAGGTCAATTTTTTTCCCTCGACTGGCGACAATAATTCCATCGTGGCTACGCCCTTTGACCGCCCATGCGGCGACCACCGTAAGTGTCAAAGATGATACACTCGGTGGCCCCAGGAGTGTCTGCGCGGCGGCACCGGTAGCCGTTGTTGGACGCTGATGTCATCGAGTGAAATGTGGGCCACGTGTCTATTGGTTGTGATCGATCCTCTCCCGATTAGTCATCTGGCACCCCACTCAGGAGTCTAGCTGGCTGATACTCAGAGAACGATACCCCGACGAGTTATTCCATGCTGCCGCTGAGTCAATAGCGGTATAAGAATTTTCCAACGGCGTCGTCGTCGCTGGGAACAGCTCGCTCGGCGAGCAGTCAGAACATCAAACAGTTCGGAAATGAGGACGGCCGAATTATGCGATGAGGTTTGCGAACTTCGCAGCTGGTGCCTCGCGCCGGTGTTGACGTACTGGAAGAGTCTTTCTTTTTTGAGACGAACGCCCCTTCTCCTGTTTTGCGTTCAGCTCTTTGTTCGGAACCACCCGTCGCGGAACGTATTTTGCTCGTGGCTTTGATACTAGACGAGAAATTTCCAGGTCTGATTCTATCCGAGCTCATTCGGAGGTAGCACCTATGCGTGTGGGTACGTCAGAACCGTCTTTCTGTAAATCGTGTGGCTTGTACTAAGCTGTTTGATGTATCTGTTCTTTGCTGCCATAGACGGAGTGGCGCTGTCAAGATGTTTGCTCTTCTTGTCGTGGAATGTGACACTGTTAATCAGAGTAAACGTGTGCGCTTTGTCCGCCACCGAAACGGCCAAGATTCGGAATCAAGATCTTCCCATCCCTTTTCATTATCGCGAACTGTTCGTCTAGAGTTGAAGCTCACTGAATACGACGGCTGGAAGCGCCATGATTCCGCTAGATGTCACCGAGGTTTTTCCTCGGTGTGCGTCCATCGCGTTTCGGAGAAATATTCTCCATGAGTACCGATCGAAAGGTCGGAACGGATCAAAGTGACAATCGAATTCAATTGACACGTTGCTCCTCGCGATACGGTCCCTCGCTTGAGCTGTCGGTACCGTTTCTGTCTCTTTTCTTTTTTTGAGGACCTTCCGAGGAATTGCAGAACTTCGGCTTTGATGGATCTTCGTCGGAAGACTGATTCATCCTACAGTACGGTGTTCGAGGTGAACGAACTCGGAAAGAGGAAGGAATCGCACCTCTCGCCGTGGTGCCGGCCGGCCGAACAGCATCTTGTCGGTAGAAATGCGAGGGCCTATGTCTTCGGCACCCTTCCGTATCCCGATATCCACCGATTCATTGGAATCGGAAACTCATTCGAGCATAGGAGTTTTCAGCTCGAAAACGATTCTGCTACCCTGTGCAATTTTCGCGCTGGTCGTAGTTTGCTCGTAATGCTCGATAACCGATTACGCTAGTAGTGCGTCTCCCTCCAACTTTGGCAACATTTGTCGATGCGACATTGGGCAATTTATCATTGGAATCTCGTCCGTCCGGAAAAAACTCCCCGCGAGCCGCTGGGCGTCAGCTCTTCAAGGAGTCGTGGCCCTTTTCCTACACGATGTAAGTGAGGGAGGACGAGGCACCGCAGCGATTGGATATTCAACAGCGTTTGCAAGTGGGATCGCACCACTTCGACAAACACAACAATAGCTTCTGTGGATGAAATAGCTCCGGTCAGAGGCTCGTGGCACGGACCAGTCACGCGAATTGAAGTTTCCGGAGTGAAATAGGGTGCAATGCACCAGTTGGCGGACCGTCACCGGACTGATTTCATCAGTCCACGAATGCCAGGGCTTGATAAGGGCCATTCATTTGTTCGTTCATCCCATGGGAAGTCGAGGACGAATGCTAACAAACTCCGAGATGCAGACCTTCTCCCGTTATTCTGTGCAATTCGAGAACGTGTTCACAGAATGAAGGTTGAAGCCATCATATGAAAATGATTTCATTTGGCAGATATGCACACTGTGAATGTTTTTGATTCGCTTCCGAATGTAATCGTTATGTCCTAGGTGGAATGTGGCTCGTTCCGGTCTTCCGGCCGAATTTCGTGGGGAAACAAAATTCTTCCCTGAACGAGATGTTTTTCCTTTCCCAATGTAGACAGTTGAGTTCCCCGAATTCCGCTATGATGTCCACTGTCGCGGAACTTCGGCGGAAACAAGATTGTTTCCTGGACATCGTTCTGATCAAGCGTGGAGAATGCAATAAGCCACGCTCTGTTCGGCCAGAAGCCTAAGAATGATTAGGGTAATTTGAATGTTCCCGGCTCGTCTCCCATCGGGGCTCAGATAGTTGCTGCTCACCCATGCTCGATCTTCTGTAATATATTTCTCATGGATTCGAAATGAGCAGCATTCGATAATTAATCTGAATAAACGCGCAGGAGGCCCGCCAGTCGCGAGACATTGCCGGGTAGAGGAAATGGCTGTGGAACATCAACAATGAAATACCTAAATCAAGTTTCGCACAACATGAACTGACGCCAAAGAGCTTCATACCCAAGTCGTGGAGCTGGTCTGAGGGTTGCCCCTGAGAGTCCCCATGGAAATTCGGCATTGGTTTCTGATCGGGTCTCAGTTGTTAAGGTTGTCGCCGCATTCCGAGAGCGGGCTCGCCGTCGACTGGTTTGCCAAAAGGTTCGATCATGCGTTGTTTTCTGGACCCGAACTGATCGCTTTTTGAACTGTTTTTCTCAATTCAAAAAGCTCCGATCAGATCCGGAATATTATGCTCATTGAAATTTATGCTTCGAGTTTGACCGTTGACGAAATGCATTAGACTTCGAATCGAGGGAAGCAGGTCTCGCGAGAATTCCCCGAGCAGCAGAAATCAACAAGGAACGCCTTCGTCAGGGCAGGACAGATCAATCGGAATCCCTAATTGGCTTGGGCGAAGATATTCGGAGTGCTTCTTTCGCGAATTGCGGAGGTCTTCCTGCGGTGCGGCTGACTTCATGGATTTCGGGGAAAGTACTGAATTTCTCCGGAAGAATCTAAATCGCCATCGACGACGCGGTCAGAGAAGCTCCCGAACTTCGGGTACGACAAGCGCGACCCCTCGCCGTGCTTCTCGACTCGGGCGTCATCTGAAGCCTCGCTGGCCTCGATTATGAAAGCAATAACTCAGAGAGCGCCTCCAAACTTTCCACCGGAGCCCCCGGACACCGAGGCCTTAATTGAGGGCGGTGGCTAGTTTTCTCTGCATTCTGATCTGAAAGCATGAGAGTCCCTCCATGACTGCGGCTCAAAAGACACGGAAGAATCCAGCAGTGCGGGTTGACGCTCCGCTAAGCAGTTGACGGCTTTTGTTATGTCGAATTTGAGAGAAGAGTTCAATAGTCGCAGTCATTCACATCGCTGCGCCGATCTGACCAATCGTGGAAAGCGCCTTCAAGATGCGCATGAAGCACCCCGGGCGGCCTGTATCAGACTAGTACATTAGTTTTAACTCCGCCCGGAAAAAAGGACCGCGTTCTGTAAGGTCACGTGTCCATACGTCGCCAACTCTAATCCAGCGACCATGTGCGCTCCACACGGGATCTCATCAGTGTTCCATAAACAGTTATGTATGTATGTATTAGGCTGTTCAGCTGATCGTCACCACACCGCCGCCATCAATTCATCGCTGAGCAAGTTCCGACTGGGTTGCCGCCTAAACACTGTCAGTTGTTACGCGAAATCCTTGGATACACAAGCTTACCAGCCTCTCGCTCTGAGCCCGGGTCCAGGCCTATGATCTGGGAAGCTTCTCTCAACAACAAGTGTACATTTTCCCTTTCTTTTCAGATGAATTTCGACGATCTTCATCACGTCCGACACAGACGCTTGGCGCGTCGATCGCTCGATTTGCATCCAGATAGCTCGGCCGAACCTTGGCACGAGAGAATACAGCAAGAAGTCAAAATCCGAAAGAAACGCGATTACGGTATTACGCAAGAGGGTAGTTCGTTTCGGTGGCGAGACGACGAGACAGAAGACGAGCTGAGCAGACAGATCAGAGCTGCATATAGACATGAAAGGGCCAAGTACGTACGACATCGTACAAAATCTTAGATAGCCTCCCTATTGTTCTCAGATATGTAATCCTTCCCTACTCGAACTTCTCTCGTTCGTTTTGTACTCGATCTCTCGTTGTGCGAAGCTCTCTCTCTGGCGGGTTTACGACTCTGTTGTCTCAACATGCCTCAGATCTCTTCGTCGTCGAAACTCAGCGAGCATCCCCTGGAGAGAGGATAGGAAAAAATAAGGAAGAAGATTTAGATCGCCCCTCGTGAGATGATTACACGATGCCCTCGGATAGACCAGCTGTATTCGGAATTCCCCTCAAACCGAAGGATCCCGATTTGATTTTCCAGGACGCAAATGAATGATCCGAAATGGCCTCTCCAGTGGTACCTGAATCGCGGTGGCGGCCTCGACATGAACGTCGAGAAAGCGTGGAGTGAGTTCAACGTCAGCGGGAAAGGCGTCGTTGTCACTATTTTAGATGATGGTCTGGAGAAAGATCATCCTGACATCGCATCGAACTACGATGCCCTAGCCAGCTTTGACATGAACGATCAGGATCCAGGTGTGTGACCGTATCAGATTGCTATCTCTCGAAGAATAATCGTCCCATTCAATCCGTATGCATCGAGTCTCGCTCGCAAGCAAGCAGCGGAAGAAAAACGATTGTGCGCGATGCTCGGTCTCCCGTTTTCGATTCATTCTCACGTCGACAAAGAAAAAGAGAAATTTGTTGTGGCCGAATTACCAATTCAGAATATCCGTGATAGCTGGACGTCGTTTCGGCGTAAGTTGAAAGAGACTCACCTGGTTGGAAAATCCGCTAAAAACCATGAGCTGCGGAAGTTCCGGAGCGGGCCCACGAAAGGTGTCTTGTATTTTTCCCCGAATGCACTTCAAAGAAAGGCGGGCTTAAGAATCTGACTCGCTTCTGCGAAGTCCATTGAGAAACTGTTTCGTTTTGCTCCGTTGCGCTAACTTCACCCAGAATCGTCACCGGTCCGAACGGAAGCCGCGTTCCTGTTTTCCCAAATTCGCCGAGTCCATAATATGATTCCAGGATGGGACGAAACTAGAAAGATAGCTTCTAATCGTGAGCTCGTCGATCTTCATTTTCCAGACCCTCAGCCGCGGTATGAAGTAAACGATTCGAATCGTCACGGTACGCGGTGTGCTGGTGAAGTTGCCGGCCTGCGCGACAACCAGGTCTGCGGCGTGGGAATAGCGTATAAAGCGTCGATCGGTGGAATCCGAATGCTCGATGGCGATGTGACAGATGCCGTGGAGGCTAGGTGAGAGAAATTTTACATTTTTCCTCCTCGAGGAGCAACGTCGTTTTCCAGGAGCTTTCGCAAAACAGTTGGGGCTGATTCGCGTAGAGATTCTTGGACCAGTTTAGAGATGCTGGCCGCATCTTCTTTCTCGAATTTCGTCCCGTCCGGCGCTGTTGAGCCGACTTCTCTTTGAAGCTGTACTCAATCCGAAGCCATAAATAAGTCGAAGCGACCCACGTTGTTCATGATCGGAAAATATACCCAAGCTTTCATCAACAGGCTTCTGTTGTGACAATAAACGCTTACGCGTGGCAATGTTTTTGGATGTTGCTTGCCGGCGAACTCGGAAGATCGCTTTCTTTTGTTAGCTCTCCCACTCAGATCCTTTATCCGTTAAGACCTGTCAGATACAAAAAGTGACGTCAATGCCTGATGTGTAGACATGGAGATCGGCTTCTGGTAGGGAGGAACGTCAAGGAAATTTGTTCTATTTCTGTCGTTAGACAACCGGAACCGGCGAGTTCGAGGAGACTTGTCCCGCGAATAAGCCATTGGACTCCTGGCTGGCGGGCAGGCGGTCTGAGCGTGAGTCGCCCTCCTCGTTGCTACGACTCTAATTCTTGCATTGCAGATCCTTGGCACTGAACCCTCAACACATCCACGTGTATTCCGCTTCGTGGGGTCCCGACGATGACGCACGTACGGTCGACGGTCCAGGCCAACTCGCTGATAAAGCACTTAAGGATGGCATACGGAACGGCCGTCGCGGCTTAGGTGAGGCTATTTCCAATTTGATTGCCTGATCCATGACATCATGCGTAGCGTGATACGACTTTGTTTCCGTTTTACAGGCAGTATATTTGTGTGGGCGTCCGGTAATGGCGGCAAGGAGAAAGACAACTGTAACTGTGATGGATACGTGAATTCAATCTTCACGCTAGCCGTGTCGGCTGCGACCGAGAACGGAAATGTGCCGTGGTACTCGGAAAGCTGCGCGGCGTCTTTGGCCACTACTTACTCATCGGGGAACTACAATGAAGGTCAAATCGTAACCTCTGATCTCCATCACAACTGTACAGAGCGACACACCGGAACGTCGGCTTCGGCGCCTCTGGCCGCGGGAATCGTAGCCCTGGCCCTCGAAGCGAATCCGCAACTCACATGGCGGGACATGCAGCATTTAGCGGTGCGCGCCACCAGGCGGGCGAACCTAAACGCCCCGGATTGGGTTACGAATGGGGTGGGCAGAAATGTTTCGCACTCGTTCGGCTTCGGATTGTTAGACGCTCACAAAATGGTGGAACTTTCCAAGAAATGGAAACGCTCTCCGCCACAGAAAGTCTGCACGGTGAGCACTCCCAGGAGCGACAAGCCCATTCCTCCGAAGAGCACGCTGCTGTTACATTTGTTCGTGGAATGTAAAAATGTCAAATACGTCGAGCACACGATTTCTAAGGTGAGTACCCAAGGTGAACAGCTCACGTTAATACGTGGGGTGAGGTTCCCGGGGCCGAGGCCGCTGAGACTCGAGTCCCCAGATGCGGTAGAGATCAATCGACCGGTCATACAACGGCTACGATCGTCACGCTCTTTCTTCAGATCACACTGCAAGCGATGCGCCGAGGTGACATTCATATCTATCTCTCGTCACCTTCCGGTACGAAGAGTACACTGCTCACGCAGAGACCGAGAGATGATTCTCGACAAGGCTTCAATCAATGGCCGTTCATGACGGTGCATAATTGGGGAGAGAACCCAAACGGAAATTGGACCCTAGAGATCCACAACGACGCTTCTTATCTGGGTACGTTCTCCCTCTCTACGTTGACAGCTCGGAAGAAGCTCCTCCGCTTCCGGAGAAGCCTCGGTCTCCTCTCAGGAATTTCAATCCGGTGTTTCCACTCCAGGCAAGGCGCTCCTCAAAGAATGGGCATTATCGATGTTCGGCACAGCGGAGGACCCCGATGCGCAGTTCCGGACGGATTTCCCCGATAAACCCGCTGGGGAGGCGGAACCCAGCAACGATCTAGGCGATCTCGAGCCTCCTTCAGGAGTGCGCAGCGCTGGCGTCAGAGACCGTAAGTAATCAAACGTTCTGCTTCTCCTGCCTCTTTTTAACAACAAGAGAGATGCTTTTGTTACCTTTCGATCATGCAGGGCATCAGTCCGGTTTCCGCTGCTTCGCGATAATCATATTAATCTTGTCGCGGCGCGGCGCCCCGACTCTACATGATTTTTCTCGCATCTTCCCTCTCCCATCTGCAAGGCAACGCGCTTGTAGATCGGGAGCAAACTCGATCCGCTTCCGCGCGCGATTCAGGCGCTTCTGAGCGATGAGACATCGAATCTATTATGACATAATGCTCTCGCTACCTCTGCTGCTACTGCTGCTATTGCTTTCCATTCTGTCGTCAGCAATCGTTCCTAAAGCACACTCGTGAACGTAGCGTAGTCACGGCCGTAGAACGAAGCCACCGGAGCAAACGATTCGAATTCCACCAGTTGAGTTCTTCATCAGTATATACCGGAGCACGTCAGTAGTGCGCAGGCGCTCCGATCGTTTCCCGACGTTGTGTTGCTCGACGTGAAAGCTAATTGTCGCCGTGCACGTCGCCGTTCTCGGCAGCGAGAGAACTTGTCTCAATGAGCGACAGAAATCGCTGGAATCGTTCGCCGTTGAATCGTCCGTAGTGATACGTCGAATCACCACCGGATTTAATTTTTTCCCCGGATAATTTGTTTGATTCTTCTCCTAGTTCTCAATTAGTTTTGTCCGTCGGCATTGCTATCGTGGTCATCGTGATAAGCCTCATGTCGGTTGTGAACGTGGGAGACCCCCCCCCCCCCCAGATCGCGGCATCTCGGCTCCAATTTCTGGATGTTAGCAGACAACAATGGGCTGGTGTAAAGACTTTCCGATGAATTATTATTTTTAAAAAAACGTGAATACTTAGTTTGAGAAAATCCCAGCGGCTTTCTGCTTCGGCAGTCCCCGAGAAGAGCCCAGACGGTCAGAAAGGCAGGCATAAGAAAAATTGGAGTGCAAGGACAAGCAGAACGAACGTGGAATTAGGTGTTCGTCGAAGAGATCCATATGTTGTTGATTGAGATGATGATGATGTTGTTGAGATGATGAACATGTTCCGCTCAGCTGAGCGGGAGGCTGACAGCGGTGTCTCTTTTTTTGCAGCGATTGACAGCGACACGGTGCTGAACTCGCGCAGTTCGGTTAGCATGTCCTCTTCAGCAGGCCCTCCACCCCCCCGGTTGGGCGGAGCCGTTCGTTGCAGCGGTCTATTGTTCATAGTGATACCTTGCCTTCTACTCGCCCTTTGTACATCGAGTCTATGCTAACTTGTTCATAGCGGCGTTCTCGACATACATGTATGGCCAAGTGGTTTCCCACGGTCGAGTGTTTCGATTGCGCTCGGTCATACCGTGAATTTAGTATTAATGCGTAGCTCATGGTGTCGGCCAGATACCGACTCTGGCGGATCGAATAGCAAGTTTCTAAAGGCGGGACATGATGAACCGGCGCGGGAATTCGACTTGATCAATCCGAGGAGAGGATTCCAAATTATGGAGCGTGCTCCCAGAACCGATCGCCGGCCCCACGACTAGTCGTTCTTGAGCTCTGCTCTAACTGAAGAGAGGGGGAACAGCCTCAGAAAGCATTCGCCGTTCGCTGTTCTTCCCGGGCTGCACTAAATTTAGGTTACTTCATCATTTAATATTCCGTTAATTGTACTTTATCACTTTCTGCTCGAACGAATCGACGAGGCGTCGGAATTTGCGGTCCGGCTGTAGACATAGGTGTGATAGGAGACGGTATCCGAACAATCTCAAATACTCGCCCAAATACTTGCGAACGATTCCACGGCAGCGTTCAGGTAAAAACCCACTGTTCATTGAATGACGACGCCGAGGATGCGTGATAATTGGTAGCAGACATTGCAGTAGGCATGTCCGCCTGCCCGGAGCTCCATATGTGTGAAGACAGATTAAGAATTGACGGATGAGCTCTTTCCCATAAGAAGAAACAAAGATGGAGCCGAAAGTAGAGCCGATGGAACTTTTGATGGGAATAAGTCTACCCGGAAAACGTGTCGCCCGGGAACGTATCGAGAGCCGTCGGCAGGCACACGGTAGCGGCACGGAAAATTTCGCTGAAGCGTCGCTGACATTTTGAGCCTGATGGATCTCGTTGTCTGTAATAAAGCGCCGAACCGGTTGGAAAACGAACCCCTCCCCCATTTTTCCCCTGCCTGGGACCGCACGCGCGAAGAATCTTCAACACGCCGCCACGAGATTGTAACAGACTAAGTTTCTGCCGTTGGATGCCTAATCGACTACTAACTAGATCCGTTCGTCTTGAATGTTCGTCATGACGCCCTGGAGCAGCACTCATTTACGCTCATTGCTTGCTGAGGCGTTCTTCGCACTCCCCATCACGATACTCACTAACTACGACACGAACTTCAGCAGCGACTGATTTTGAAGGAGATGAGCCGGCTTGGAGGAACACTAAAATTCCGCGTTAGCGCCTTCGCCTCACAAGAGCGAGCGCACGTGCGGGTCACTAATCCAGCGACGTGCTTGCGTACACTTATCCGCGATCTACAATGAGCGGCGTTGTGGAGCGGTCTGCTTGAGAATCATTTACGGCAGACTCCGTTCGCTCGTGACAAAGATTACGATGTTGAACGAGGCCCCTAATCCGAGGAAGTTTGTCGAAGGGTAGCTCTCAAAAGCAGTTCTGCGCAGCTTAAATCTCGCTCTGATCTCAAAAATGTTCATCGGTCTGAGCAGTTCCGTGAACGGTAACAAAGCAGCTGCCTGTCCCCTCGAGGAATCGGTTTGATTCACGCCGCTGGATAGTAGCCGCTGAGATACGCATTCGAAATTCCTGTTGATATGAAATCGATTAAGCTCGTCAAATACAAATGCTTCCTCTCGGAAGGCCGCCCCCAGGCAGCAGTCTGGTTCAGCGGTTCGGTCCGCCCCGACTTCCAGTACCGGCCGGAAGAGTCCCCGTCGTTGATTGGCACGTCTGATGCACCTCTATCAGTAGCCCCAGATCCACCCCCAGGTTCGACTTACAGGTTTACCGACTGGGCCGGCGACCCATGAATGCGGAGCGAGTTCCTCGACCTTGCTGGCTTGGATACGTCGTTTTCTTGGAAGCTGTTGATTGAATACTGAAGATCGACGAATGCTTTCATTCTCGCTCTCATGAGCCATTCGAGTTGTAACACCAGAATATACATGGAAAATCAGAATGCGGCGTTTATTTCAAAGATAGCGTTCACCCGAGAGAACGGACATGTTGTTATGAATATTGAAATCTTAGTGAACCAATTGAATAAAACAGTGATTTTTATAATGACTTGTACACTCGCCGTCTACTCATTGATCCGAATCCACAATCGCAGTCTCGGTCCAACGGATCGGGAGGTTTGAAGCAACGTACGATTCGGAAAGCTCCGATGCGAAGCTATACAGGATTGGGCTCAATGAGTGAAAGCAATGAATCTGTAGGATTGGAAGGATTGTTACGACAATAATTATGACCTTGAAATCCTCTCCGAACGACCGATAGTCCCTCACCGACGTCCGCCTCGCTCTGCCGGCTTGTTTTTTTCGAGGAGAGGCGTTCGGTGGTGAGGACAGCCGCGCTTTCTGACGCAAGGCTCCCACCAATGCTTATACAGATCGTCCATCCGCTGCGACGGCTCGCTGAAATCGCTAATTAGGTATATGGAAATACCCGAGCCAATGAAACCGACGGCGTCCCAACTAGAAAAGAGGATTTCCTTCCGCTTTCTATACAATTCTCCGGTGGCTTCGATGATGGATGCGTTCCGCGTGGGCGAATGTCTGACATCGTTTTCCGTTAATAACCCTCATGCTTGTGGACTCGCTACAGATGATGATGATTATAATTATTATACTCTATACGAGCAGGGAACGACTCCATCTAACTCCTCTATCGATACTTCTAGATAACTGTACAGAAGGAACCTATCCTCTCAACACCCGTCCCGATGAGAAGTTGTGTGCAAAGTGCCACTACACGTGCAAGACGTGCGCCGGTCCGAACGACTACCAGTGCATTGGCTGTTACGAAGATTCGTTGCTACATTCGGGTGGATACTGTTATAATAAGAATCTTCTGGAGCAGATGACAGTGCGCTGGTAAATGGCTTCTTTGATTTGAGACTCCATCGCTTTCCCGACCGAAAAAATCCGTCGCCGTATCATGCGAGGTCAAGAGAGATATGCAGATCGGAGATCCTTTCCCAAGGGGAGCCTCAAACCCAGCGAATCACTCGAATTTTCACCCGATTCACAGGCATTGGTTGAACGCGCTTCTGGCGGGTTTCCTCATCTCTTGCATCCTCTGCATCACGCTGGCCTGTATTGTGATGTACCTCGCGTGCCAACAGCGCCGTCGACTCCACGCTTACGAGGACCGTACGTAGACTGGTGAAGACAGCTCTCAGCAACCGCTCATCAGCTAGTTTACTGCGAGCCCGATTCTCCTCGCACAGACTCTATGAAAACATAATGAAACAACTACGTTATCAGCAAGAAACAAGCAAACAGCTCGACAATCGAGCGACAAAAAATTTTTAATCGGGGAAACGAATGAATGGGAGGCATCGATCACGTTCGATCAGCGGGCGCTGACGGATCACCAGGGACCGTTAGACGCAGCGCGACGTCATTTCCTGGTGCACGACGAACCCATTCTGTTCTCTAGCCCCTCAATTCCGCACCTTGTTTCCCCTTGAAGCATTGCTGGGTTTGGGGATAGTCCCCTCCCACCATGCGGAGATAATCATTTTGTCGTAATGATAGCCGGGAGAGCACGGTTCAAAGTTCGTATTGTTGGAGATGATCGGAGCGTAGGTTTGTGCCCAAGGAGATCTACACCATAGGTTTAGGCAGTGACATTTCCCGCATGCTGCTTCACCATGTCAATCTAGTCTTTACACATATTGTGGAACTGATGCGTGAGCGTGTGAGATGGCTGAGAATTAGAAGTGTAAATAATAATGCTAAGTTAATCAGACGGCCCGTTCGCGCATTGTGGCCCGCAACAGAGCAAGCGGAATCAGATCTGAGCTGTGGAGTCGCCGAATTTTTTCGTCAAAGCTGGGGAGGTTGAGATCAGCAGATCCGATCGGAAGACCTGGAAAGGTCAAGTTGGACTGGGGTAGAGGAATCAGACATTCCATTATAAGCGACCCTATTTGACTTCGAATCCCTGTACATAGGAGCTTGTTCGACGGAAAACACGGCAAATGTTCTCGAGTGACTACCGCGACAGCGTTCGCGACGGAGACCGACGGAAGCAACTACTTAATTATTGTTCAAGTTCCCTTCGAGTCGATCGCGACAATTATCCTGAAAATTATGCGAGGCTACTGTCCTTAGTCCTGGACGTTCCATTTCCCGCGGAGCAGGTTAGCTGGAGATATTCCCAGGATGAGCTTCTGATGCGTTCGACTCATCCGGCTATTGGTCCAAAGTGATCGTGCTTGTGAGACACAAAGCTGAGAGGGCGCAAGTTTAGGCAAGAAAATGTTTCAGCACTCATGTGAATGGAGCAAACGGAGTTATCGGGAAGCGAGATGAGGACAGGAAGGGAAATAAAAAATGATTCCAGGAGATTGTTGTAGAAACGATATGACGTAATCCTCTGCCTGACTCGCCCCGAGTAGATCGCACGCCGTTTTGTACAAAGTTTAATTTCCCGGATGGCATGACATCGATTCGAATCGAGGCCTCCGCCTAGTGGCGTGTATGTCGTTGAGTGCATATCTGTTTGTCTGTCTGAGCGTCTATCTACGTGCCCGCCCGCGCGCGCGAGTGACTGTCCAAAGAGAGATCATGAGCGATTCTAGGCAGATGTTGGATGTGACCAAGTAAGGACTACCCAAGACTTCAATAAAAGCGACTATTTATTTACCTCCATTGAACTACGACGAGCGCGTTCGCGCTGCCATCTCCCTATCACCCTCCCCTTCACCCTTCCGCCTCCTCACCTCCGCTGAGATTTCGACGTAGAACGCGTCTTGAAGCTCGCTTATGTATACATCGGAACATGTAGAATATGAAAATGGACGTGACGCGACGACTCATGATCGGTCAATGATTTTCACCTCGAAGAGAGGGATGGCCCGACTTCGAAGGACTTTTCACATACAGTCAAGTCTTCCTAAGTTATAATTCTCGGGAGACCGATTTCGGAGAAAATTATAAGTTATAAGTTAGCGAAGGCTCATGTTTTTTCCTATTCTTCCTCTTCCAGCGATCTTTTATTAATATTTCTATGGTGAAAGTCTATGTTATAAGTTATCGGAGCGCTGCTGGAAATTGGTTCAAATTATAACTTAGCGAGGGTTTTTAATTTAGGGCGGGTTCAATTTAGGAAGACTTGACTGTACATTCCCGGAGGCCTCGAAAAACAGTTGCGGGGATCTAAATCGCCTGTGATCTAGCTGTAGTCTTGAAGCTTGTCTTTTCGCAATCCGGCGACCAAATGCGTGCGGGATTCGGAATTCACGAGCAGCCGACAGCCGAAATCGCGAGACCAGGCGGCTGTCAGATCGTTCGCGCGGACTTCAATATTCAGGGAGGGACTGTGTTTCATGTGACCCCGCGGCGAGATGGCGAGAGATTGATGTGAGCAGCCATCGTGTCAAAGCAGCTGATCATATCATTCTGGATAAACTCGAATTCGCCAGGGACATTTCACTCAATATCAATATCCAACATTTAGCGACACACGTGAAAGACTTGGTATTGGTATTGGTATTGGTATTTATTTATCCTTCTTGTCCGATGCAGTTTTAATGGATGCGAGCCCCCCTCGTGTAAAGGAGTCGTGGTACGATAATGCCTTTCGCCGACTTTCGATTCCTCGCGTGGAAGGAGAAAGCCATCCGTAGTGAGGGAGAATCGCCTTGACATGACGCCCCATCGCAACACCCATAGACCCAAAGACAAGACAGCCGGAATCGATTGCGGATAGGTCTGCTTCAGTCGGATCTTGATCAATCGCAATGACACTACTCTAGGCTTTCGTGTACATACATCACAGCCGGCGCGAACTGGGCGCAGGTCGGTGAGTCTTCCGATCGCCAACGAAGCTCTCTCGATGCAGGACAGTCGCTTACGGAAGAGGAGCCTTTAATTATATGCACGGACTTCGACTTTGACATCAGGAAACACCTCTCAAAGATGAACTTTTTGCATTGACGTACTCGCGATCCCGAGCTTAATTCAACACGGACTCGGAACAATCTACCACTATATCAATATCATGCATTGATTTGATCTTCGCCAGGAATCTGAGTTTCCCTCGTGTCGTAAATCATATATCTTATTTTAGTTGTCATTAGCCGATCCTCACCATTTAAAACCGAAGAATCTTCTCGGAGCCACCCACCCCGAGCTTCGATGAAACAACCTTCCTCATTCAAACTGAGGGCGGATTAAAAAACTCTCCATGATGGGTGACGTGGCTCACCGTTCCACGCAAATTCCGGTTCGGCTCTAAGCTCCAACTCTGACTCCTGAGACTCTTGAGCCGGAACCGAGTCGATTCTTTTCTTTGAGAGATCGACAGTCATAAGCGTGATCCCTTATCGGACAATTATGCGTCCGAGGAGAAGAACCCCTTGGACCTGTGGTTGGGGCTTTAGTTGAGACCCTGTTTTCCCGCAGACAACACACCACTTCTTCCTCGTTTCAAAAATGCTGAAGGAATGAGAAGGGAGAATTCTGTTCAAATAAAAATATATTTATTGGAATGTACGTCGTTATTCTCCGGGTCTTGTTGTGTGTTACTCAAGCCTTGGAAGAGCGGTAGCGGCCACGAGCTCGGAGAGCTCACCTAACCTAAATTCGAGCAGGAGTTTCAACCGTGACCGGTGACCGTTGTTCCAGATCTTCATCCAATGGTGAAATGAAGCGAGGAATGCCCATGTTCTCGTTGTAATTGGCAGCGGAGAATCTTCCGATTCATGCGATGCTCGACGGCTGGCTGGAGACGTCCACTTCCGAGCACCGCTTGAACGGCAACGTTGCTTATCACGGTCATTCTGTTTTGCATCCATGTTCATCCCATACCGAATGAATTCAATGAAGGTCGCAGCCGATCAGATACCACACCTAAGTTGACTACGCTCTCGCCGAACACTGTTTCCGTGCTCCTCGAGAATGATATCTGTACCGGCTAGTATGTTCTCGCCGCTTCTGTCGCTACCTTAGCGGTTTCCGCGGTCGTCTTAAAGGAGCAGTTTGCGCAGTGACGATATAACACAGTTTCAGTCTTACGCCGAATACATTCCATGCAGACAGCCACACTTCCGCGACTGATGAAGCAAGCAGTACCTCTTCGTTCTGAACAAGCCAACCTTACCACGGGTAAGGAAGCGGATGCTGACGCCTTTCCTGAATAGCCCGAGTCCAAACTGTGACCATAACCGGACTCCAAGCAGAGTTTGAGCATCGGATGTTTTTCTTCCCCAATAGGTTTCGATTGCTTCCACCCATGCTTCGACGCCCGTGCGTCGATGGAGGCACAGGCGCCTCGGACAAGTCGTTCGTCCGCTCCTCGGTCTGTCTTTGGAAAACTAAACTACGAGCGAACTAGGCGGCGAGCCCTGGAGCAGAACCCAGTCAGTCCTGAACATGGGCTTCGCGCGCGGTCTTTGCACAAAGTTCATCATGGTGTTTATAAATAGATTTGCAAGGCCTTTCGAATGGTTGCTCCTCCTGTAGTTGTCGTGGTTTCCGCTTTTCTCAGTTCAGCAGCAGCTACAGCACTATTAGATAATGAAGGCTGATTTAAATTATTTCACTTCTCTTTAATAATGTAGCCGAACATCCCATCATCTGTTCATCACGGAATATGATAGAGAATAAATGATTGTGATTGAATATTTTTCATATTCGGTAAAGATTGGCAACCGACCAACGAAATGTACACTTATTCAGGTAACAAAAAGGACAAAAACACGTCGTCATCATCATCATCATCAACAGCATCATTTTCCGCAACCATCCGCAACTAAAGGTTGGTTCCGTGAATAATTGATTGGAAGATAGATCGATAATGACTACAAACAAAATGAGAGGACAGAGAGAGGTTGAGCCGAAGATTCACGCACTGAGCCAATCGATGATCCCTTGTCCGCTACCACATGCCCTTTCCAACCCAGGGAATCAAATCGATGCCGGACAGGGTAGCTCCTAGGAATTATCATCGACGGAACGCATCCTCGGACACCCACCTCACTTTGGTTCGCTTTGGCGACGAGGGCAGGATCCGCGGTAGCAGTCGGACACGCGGCGGCGTCAAACAATACGACGACGTTCGAGCGACCGACCGAGCCGCCGGCCGGTTGACTTTTGCCCAGAGATCAAAACTCCACGAAAAACAAGAAATCTCAACCCGATCAGATAGGCGAACAAACTATCAATCATTCAATCAACCAACCAATCGATCAAGCAACCGGATCGACAGATCGATTTATTGATCGATCGACTGTCCAATCGATCAGTCATGCGTTCCTCATCGGCCTTTCTTCCAACGGGGCACGATCGATGAACTCACTTGACTGGAGCGTCCACGTCGACCCGTCGGTTGGCCATCCGACAAGACTCTCCGCCGACCACCCCAACCGCATCGTCGAGACGCGTCCGCGAACTACCGGAACGCTGACAACTTCGACAGCGCTCTCGACTCTCCGTCTTCGGCGGCGACGACGGCGTCATCGGTGATGGTCGCAGAGAACACCCTAAAGCTGCTATAATTTGCTATGTACATCACAAAGGGTCTGTCACTTTGTATGTCTGACGGACGGAGGGACGGACTGGCTGACTGACTGGCCGACTGACTTCCGGTTTGCCCTATCTGTCACTGGGTTGCTTGGTCGGGCTTGCGAGATGATTCTTTGGAAATGGACTTAGTTTTTTGCGTCACGCTTCACAATACGCCCATGGTGTGACTACCGTAGAACAAAATGGATAAAAAAAGGTGGTTCTGCTTGTGGTTGATGCTCGGTTTGTCGATGGATTGCTTGTTTGTCGGTTTCCTTTCTTGGTGGGTAGAGGGGTTGGTTGCCTTCAGTTGAGAGGGCAGGTCGGCGTATTGGCGGGCGGGCAGACGGAAAGACGCATTCTTTTCAGAATGACACTCCACTTTCTCTGTTCCTTCTGACTATTTTCTTTGTAAAAAAAAGTTTAAAAATCTGCAGCATCTATTTACACGATGAGCTGAGAATTCACAGGAGGGTAAACGATCACTGGAGCTTTGAGACGCGACGCTCAGTCGTGGCTTGCGATCGGATGATTCCGGCCGCGAGTAGACGAACTCCTTCTGAATCCACCACGGCCACCTCCGTACGTTCTGTTTCCGTAGCCATCCTGTTGGAATCCATTATTCTGCTGCCCGCCGGAGTAATAGCCGTTGTTGTTGTTATTGTTACGTCCGCTACCATTATTGTTGTTGCCTTGCGAGTAACCTGAGAGCGGAAAGGATGGACTGTACTATAGGGCATTCAACTCGTCGACATGTTATTATCCCTCGAAAGAATCATCCTGAGATTTTAAAAAACTCCGAAATCGGTCAGCTAACCATTATAGCTTTGAGATTGTTGCGACTGTTGTTGCTGTTGTGGGGCCTGTTGCTGGGGCTGCTGCGAATCCTGCTGAACTTGTTGCGGAGCTTGCTGTTGCGGTTGCCCCTGCGGCGGAAATCTTTGACCGCTGTTACACCAACCGGAACGGAACGGTGCACCTCGACCACCCCGCTGATTTCCTCCCTGATAGTTCCGACGCATGAATCCGCCCCCTCCTCCGCCATGGTGGGGTGCGCCTCCGTTGCCTCCGCCTCCCCCTCCTCCGTTGTAATTCACACCACCGTTCCCTCCGTGTCCACCGGGTGGAAACCGTATAGGATGGTTGTTGCTCATGTGGCCTCGAGATACGTTAGTCGAGTGCTCCATCTGAAAAAGCAGGGACGCAGGTGAGAAGGCATACGACGAAACGGGGGTTCTTCACATGTTCGGGGTTACTCGACGCGGTTCCGGGTCGAGTACCGGGCTCGAGGGCGGCCCGTTAGACAAAGGGGTTGAAAAGGAGGGGAGAGGCGGGGAGAAATGGCGACGAATGGGAAGGCAACGTCAAAAATGACGTCATGATGAGAAATAATAATTTTTGCGCGGACTCGCCTGGTAGTCGTCGTTGGTAGCGCTGGCTACAGGAGATTCTGCGGTCAGAGGGGGCGTTGACGCGACCTTGATCTGAGGGGGGGCCTGCGAAGCTCTAGAACCCGAATGTGGGTGCGATGGTGGGGGAGCCGCTTGTTGTTGTGCTTGGGGCGGCGGCGGCTGCTGCTGCGGCGGTGGCGGCAGAGGCAATCGCTGCGGCGGGATTTGCAGCGGCAACTGTTGCTGTGGGGGCGGCAACGGCATTTGTTGTTGCTGTGGCTGGGGCTGCTGCTGCTGTTGTTGCATCGGGTGGGACTGATGCTGCTGTTGTTGTTGCTGCGGCGGCGGCGGTAGTTGTTGTGTATGCTGCTGCGGCGGCGGAGGCGCTTGTTGCGAATGCTGTTGCGCAAGCTGATGTTGCTGATGCTGTTGTTGGTGCTGCATGTGTTCATATTGCTGAGGACTTATCATCCCTCGTGGATGAACATGCGACATCGGCACGGTAATTGGATGAGCGATGAAAACAGCGTTTTGTGCCGGAAATCTATTGAGCATTGTCAACGGCGCATGAGGTTCGACCAGCATGATGTTCTGCTGATGAATCTGCTGAGCCTGCGGATTGTGTTGTATCGGCGGTGGGAGAGGCGTTAGAACGATGTTCTGCGCGGGAGGAATCTCCACTGCGTGCATCGGCGGATGGACTTCTCCGACACTCTCGGATGGAACCTCTACTCGAGCAATTTCTTCTAGCGGAACTTCTTGTGGTAGCGGCGGAATGTTTTTAACGGTACTGGTTCGAGATAAATAAGGATCGTTCAAAGGAACCAACGATGCCAACGTTTCAATGCTCTTAATCACTTCGTCCACGGTGGCCGTATCCAACAGCAGCCTCTGTGTTTCTCCGAGAGAGATATCGCACTCTTTCTCCGCTACGAACTGTTTGAGATCGTTCCTCAACAAATCCATTTCGCTGTCGTCGAGAACATCGTTCTGAAACAATTTCAGAAAATCGATCAAGGGGAATTATTTCACAAATATCTAGAGGGTGAAATTATTGTCCCCCGCAGGGAACCCTGAAGGATAAGGGTTGCGACATTCCTCCTCTGGAGAGGTCTCCCTCAGGACTCGCGCATGAAGGCGTCGGAATCGGCTCACCTCCGAAATACGGCGTTTTAGGTCATCTGCCTCCACCTTCCGGTTGTGAAGCAGATTTTCTGCCGATCTCCTCAGCGTCCGGATTTCTGTCAAAATGTTCTCCCTTTTCACCTTGACAGCGTCAAGTATTCTGTCAAAAGACTGTGTTGCGATCTGTTCCGCTTCATCGAAGCACTTTGGAAGCTGTGGGCAGAGGAATTCCTCAGGTTTTCTGTCGGTGCATCAATTCAAACGATGCCGATGAACGCAGTTCACGCCTTCTCACTGATAGGATCGTCGACAGAAAATACGTCGCAGATACCAACCTGAGGGGTAGATCTGTTCAAAGTCAGGATTTGCCTCCCGAGATCTTTTTCGAGCCGTCCCATGTTCCGCGGTCCTCGTTGCGGGGGAGCCTCTTTTACGATTGTTTCCGGTTCCGTTTCTTTTGCGAGTGGCGGCGAAAGCGCCACCGTGGGTTGCGGAACCGGCATTTGTGCTAGCGTTTCCTCCTCCAAGCTCACCGAAGAGATACTTTCGGTGGGCGTCGAGCCCTCCGTAGTCAACGGCACAACATCACCTGCGGATGCGAGAGCCTTCTGAGTGAGCGGACTCCTCGAATATTCTGCGATCGATTTTTTTTCGCGGTCGGTGCCCGAATTAACATTTACCGTTGTCAAGACTTGAGCTGTGGTTATGGCCATGCGGATGCCCATTGTCCCTCCGCTTCCTGATAGCCTGACGACCGAAGTTTTTACTTTTACCTGCTCGACCCATTCCAACTTCGAAACCGTTGCCTGGAATAGGAGAAAACCAACGTGAACGACCACCGGGATTGAGTCTCTCGCGTTCGAATCTCTTAGTCCGTCATCAGTATCTCCTCGACTGTTCCGCGAGCCGAGATTCGACGGACGAGTCACGAATATCTCCCGAAACGTTTACTTGTTTAGTGGAATGATTGAAAAGTTACGACACGAAGAATGCGGATCGATGCCGAGCCCACCAGCTCAACAAAGCAATGCTCCCTGTCCCTAATTGTGTTAATGGGAGCTTAGCCGCGCCGGATGCGCCCAACGTAAACCGAGGAGGACCACAGGGAGGTACTGCGGCACCGCGGCATCGTTTATTGCGATAATGATGAGAGACCGATAATGCTCAGTCGGGTCTCTGCTCTGATTCGTTTTCTAAATTCTCGTCAGCGGCGATCTCTCAGCCCAAGCACGACTCGACAGCGAATAGGACACGATCGCTTTCGTTTCCGTCTCGTCAGGCTGGATAGAGTGCAGACGCTCCCAGCGAGTATTTCATGCACGAAATATGAGCATCTCCAGACAAAAGAAAGATCAAGCGTGGACTGGAAACGTGCATTTCCTTTGCTGTGAAAGAATTGAAAGATTCGACAAAGCAATCATCCATCTGCAAGCACAATGGCCGCAGTACGGGCGCAGCGAACAGCACATTATTGAATTTAACCGGAGATATTCTCTCATCTTCCCTCACGATTTCCAGTCTCGAATGGCTCCACGTCCGCATCGATTTGAAATCTACCTCAAGAATAGAGAGTAACATTAATCACTGGAAATTTTCGTGAAGAAATCTCAAGACGAATCGTACCGCGGAAAACACACGGAAAGCGCACTCCCAACGTTCGAAGGTTCTGTTGAAACTCGATATCCGAATATGAGTATATTCGAAAATACGGCAGACGAAACTTCGAAAGAACAAATATTCGAATGCTCGCTCTCCACTCCGAAGAAGGGCTGCACTTGAAAATATAGCTCCGCCATTTTCTCTATGGTCGTTTTGCAAGCGCTTGTTTTGGAGCACTTCAACGAGCCCCGAGAGTGCCCACAACTAGATCCGCTCACAATATCCGAACTCGAAACGGAAGCGATTCTATGAGCGGAGAAACACTCTACCGCGCTTGGCCGCACCGAAAATTGAATTTCTTCCCGATCCGACCCACGGGTGGTTCGGCGACCAATGCTCCGTTCCCATGCGTTAGAGTTCGACCATTCGGCTTAACTCGACCGGAGCCCAGTGCAAACACTCGGGCACGAACCAGCACCGAGAACACTCGTCTCGCGATTGCGGATCGTCGAAACCAAGTCAAATAGCGTGTTTACAGCGCTGCGAATGCAGGCACGAACTTGTAGAGACTCATGGAGAGTTTCGATCATCCACCGGCAGGGAACCCGTGTGTTGGAAACGCGCACTCGAGGCTCGAACCGTTACGCGTCTGCCCGACGAGAAACAAGACGACCGGGTGACTCTATGCACTCCAAAAGAGATTCGGGGCGGTCGAGTCGAGTGTACTCACAGTTACTCTTCGAGTCCGCCATCAGTTTGCCTTTAGTTACATAGATAGCGACCAGCAGGCATGAATCGCATTGGCTTGACGTGAGCTTCTTTTTCGTTACCGTCGAACACGCACCACAAGCTACATTCTGATTGGTCTTCGGCTGAAGCAGAGGCAAGCGGAAAGCGCGCGCAAATTCGAAAGTGACACACGGCGCGCTCTTCAAAGATCGAGCCCCTTTCTTTTTTCGCCGCAAACCTCACGAGCCTTAAGAAACTTTCTCCGTTCCGGAATTCGATCCACGATTCATACTCGGGATGTGAGTTTCCGTTCCACCTACACGCTGCGAATCGTTTCCGATAGCCGCTCCGGAATGTGGTGACACTGCAGGAACCGCAAAAGCTTACTCCTCCGGTACCGAGGCAATCCAAACAACTAGCCACGGAATTGTGGGAGCGCCCATGGCAATCGTTCCGAATCTCCCTGTCTGCACTCCGTTCGAATTTCAAGGGTTACACGCAAGGAACGCACGGATCCACACCTTGTTTTGTCGCTGAAAGTTTCGGATGCACACCACAACTTTCCACGACTACACGTGTGCATTCGAGACTACGCAATGGGGAGAACACCGCGCGCGCGGATATACGTGCAATGTTGACGCGCGGATGGCAAGTCTCGCGAACTTCACCGCCTGAAGTTTCTGATACACAGGCGCGCCATAATGGCTGACGGGGCCGTGAGTACTTCTGTGATACCTCGGGGTTTATTCCTCAGCTTTGAGTCTCGCGAGGTGCATTCTGAAAAGGAGTTCACACCGTGCCACACCCTGAATATTCCTTAAAGTCATCAAGATCGCCGTATCGATCCTGACGCTCGTCGCTTTCAGTTTAGTTGCGACCCAGTACAAGCAAAACTCCCATACGACGAAGCCTCACAATGCCGATCCAAGTTCCTCCAGAGAGTGAGTCGCTTGCCTTTCGTCGATCGAACTGTCACCTGTACTACCGGATCGTACCGGGAGCTGAAGGAAACTGTACCCTCCATAGTGAGTCGATTTTCTCTTGCTCCCCGATCTCGATCAGATCCGAGGAACGATTTCCTTTGCGAACTCCTATCGTGCGAGCTCGGTACCCCTCCTCAGCCAGCGCTTCACGAGCTGATCTCAGGGTTATCTCCCACAGATCCGATGGATGATACTTTCCGCAGAAATGACAACATTGAGACTCTACGAGAAGATGATATCCACATTACATGACCTCCCGCTGTCCCTCGACTACGCAGATAAAATCGCTTGCCACGGACTCGACGCTCTGGAGAATCTGGTTAGTCTCGGCAACCGCATGTTTGGAGATTCACGGACAGTCTCTCATTCCGGAGGAGAGTCGCTTTGCAGCGGAGGAGCGAGAATCTGAGCAGGCTTCTTGAGTTGGCCAAGGGTCGCCGAGACATGGCGATTGGCGGCAGGCAGTGTCTCCGGCGAGCGTACCTCGACCAAAGAGGAGTTCGAGCCGCTTAGGTAGACATTATTCTCAGTCAGTGGTCGGAAAGTGTTCACCAGTCAGGTTTTCGATTCAGGGAGGGAAGGTCTACACCGCGAGTACAGTCCTCCGGAGTACGGTCGAACGGATAAAACTTTCGGCAAGGCGTCGAAGGCGGTCACTCGAGGATCTGAAGTCCCGGTTGACCGACCGCTGGACTCGTGTTGCTCTCGCTCACATGCCGGAAATCGCAATCAAAGTTTATGGAGAGCTGAGGGAGTATCGAATCGTCGATATGCGGAAGTATCAAGGGGAATTACCCATATCCACTGAGAAGGTTGTGGCGGATGAAGTCACGAAACGCGAGCAAGAGAGTAGGAGGAACGAGGATCTGAACGCAGAGGGATCGATTACCGTACACGTGAACTGTTCTACCCCGGATCGTGATGACGGAATCGCCGAAGCGCCCTCAGTCGGCGAATCGGAAGGCTTTCTTGATGTCGCTCGAGAGGCCAATGGTGACAGCGGACTCGAACATTCCTGCGAGATTGAAACGTGCGGCGTAAGTTGGTCTGAAGAAGTTCTCGTCAATTCTTCTCCTGAGGTAAATCGAAGTGGCGCCTAATTCGCGATTCGCGATTACTCGCTTGCAGGACGCTGCCCCCAAAAAGAAATCGCGGAATAGGCGTCGCCGGAAGAAGTCCACGAGTCAGCCAGAAGATCTCATTTCTTAAGGGGGAACATATATGGGCTCGAATATGGACATGAAGCGAAACGATTGTGCGGAATCGTATGGTAACTACGCAGGATTGTCAGCTGAAAACGAGTTGACTCCCCACGTTGACACAATCTGTATCGACCGCAGATGCCTCGATCCTGAATAAACTTCGAGTCAATTTCCATGGAAATTCCCTTGCGTTCAAAGGCTCAGATTAGACGACGGAGAGACAGACTCGATATCTCATGGGTAGTTCCATCAGCACCATCTTCGTGCGAGTCTCCGAACTGTATCCGCCTCAATCATTAGATCCATCGGGAGGATTGCGAGGTCTGATCATCAGAGTACGCGCTTTGAGAGGGGACCGGACTCGAGAATTATGAACTATGATCGCTATACCGTGAACATCTCTTATAGGGCATGCCCGTCTATTTTTTCGACCATCAAAAACTTGCCCGATTAGCAGAGACAGCCCGTCTATTGCAGACGGCCCGTCGGCTCCTCCCGGCCTCCAACCAGTGAATCGAGTCCGCTCACCCACACAGGTATACAAGATTGAATCGATAAAACATTCACCGCGAGAATTCGAGGAACTCACACAAAGCACCCGCGAGAGCAGATTTGCGATCCGCGCGTTTCGGGTGCTTGAATCTCTTCGCTGGAGGAGCCCATTTATTGAGGACTGCTGTCCTGCTATTCAATCATTCCACCGATACCTTCCCGTGTATCGGAGACTGCCCTTCCAAGAGAATATTTACGGCCATTCTCCTCAATACGTAGGATGTTGCGAGAGAAGCGTTTGCACTCCCTGGAAAAAGAGATGACCGCTGTTCAACCAGTCAGCGTTGTTGACAATGGCAGTAATTATCGGAGAATCCGAGGATCTGACGTCCGAGGCGATGAACTCGGAAGAGATACCGGGTTCCGGGTCGTACAGGCTCTTGATTTCGCGTACAGTCACTGAATTAGCTCTCGAGAGACAAATTAGAATAATTCTCCGCAATATTTCTTCGACAGATCATCTCTAAGAAGGATGTTCGTTGATCCTTCATCTCCGAGATATTCAGAAAATTTAATAGAGATCAGGCAGCTCGAAATGATTTAGCGACCACAATTACAACCCTTACGGGAAAATTATGGGGAAATCCCATTGATCGGTGTACGCGCTGCGCGTTTCGTGTCCGCTTCCCCAATTACACCTTCGTCAGTCTTTACTACTCATGATGGTTCTGAATCCCTATAATCGCAACTCCATCATTATTGGAAACACATGAGTCAAGTGAATCTCGCTTACAAGAGGACCTTATCCGCGACGTCGGGATGAGAGTCGTATGTTTTGCGGTGATCGTGGAAGAGAGCTCGAACCAATGCGATCTCGAATCTTCTCCGAGAAGTTCCCATGTCTTCCATCTGCCTCAGGCTCAAATATTTCTCAAGAGGATGAGCTTCAGGAGAAGAAAGAAGATGCACCATCGTCGTATCGGGGATCATGGATCAGGCAGAGTCATTCGAATCTCCACATATTGAGCACCGCGAATTCGGAAATAGCATTCACTTAAGCGACGAAAGCAATCTCCTCGAGTGAAATGACGTATGTACCTCCGTGCTTGATCACTTCGATCGCGCCGTACCGTTTAGTACGACCAAGAAATCATGATCGGACATGAAGGAGCAACGTTAGAGACATCCTGTCTGATACTGATTTTTTTTTTCATACTGATGTGGAAGGCTCTCTTTCAGGAACGTATATAGGATTTTTTTGGGAGGGGCCAGCAAGGTTTTTGGGGGGAGGGGCAAAATCGTGATGATGATCCCCATGGACCGCAATGTACGAAGGCGGCGCTTTGGGGGGCCATGGCCCCGTTAATCACCCCCCCTATATACGCTACTGCTCTGTTTCATATGAGTATTGTAGAGTGCATGAGGGGGGGGGGAGGTAGGACTCATGGATTCAATGCTTGTCAACATGCGCCGACTCTCTGACAGAGTTTGAATTTCGTGAGACGAGCCTGATGATAGGCCTCGAAAAGAATGGAGCATCAAACATCTTCATTATCCTGTAGAGTCAGTATCTCAGATGTCACACGGCGAGTCAATCAGTCATGGGACGGCAGCGTGGATAGTGCCTCGAGAACATGAACAACGTGCATATCATGATGTGAATGACTATTGAGGGATCGCGGAGAACGGAAGACCTGTGTATCCAGATGCAGAGCGGCGACCATTCTCTGTCCACAGCTTGCACCTGCGGAACAGAGCTCGGGACCGTGGCGCAAGGGACACCGAGGTCCTCGATTGACTCTATGCGAGCCAGAGCTTCGTGTCCGATGAAGCACGGAAGGGATGCAGAGTCAGGACCCACACGCAGTATAAGCCTTGATATCTACGTTCGCTGATACTTTGAGGCCCATCTCGAGAGTCCTCCAGGTGCATTTCACGGTAGATATCGAAGACCAACTCAGACATGATGATGGAATTGAGCGACATATCCTCCTCGCCTCACAGTACCAGCCCTGCTGCGCTGCTCCCGAAAACATGCCTCCCAATGATTTTGTGGTACGCGACGCCGATCGACCAACAGAACACGGCGATCCGATACAGCATTTAATTGACGAAGTAGCGCTAATAATGATTGGCCAAGACTTCGACTGCCGGGATGTAGTTCGTCATCGCAAAGGATTCCGGAGACACATCGTTCATATGACGCTTCGCAAGATCTTATACCACGGCAAGGAGCAGATGGCCACCATGTCAATATTCAGAAAGGAAAAGTCCCCGATCGAATGAAGCGGTAGAAGAGCGAATAAGTGGCATGCAAGAGTCGGGTCCAGATTTCTTTCCCGGGGAGGGGGAATCAATATTCGTATTCAAGGAGGATCAGCGCGCTCAGTCCGTGCGCTGCTTCAACACGGAGGATGTGGAGATATCGAAAGCTTTCGGGACGGGCGATCGCAAATTCGCCTCCCGCCCCTGGATCCGTCACTGGCGCCATGAAGTATGAGGTACTCATATACATATATACTGATGGTCGAAGAGACTGAGGATTACAATTTATTGAGATTCTGACGATTATTCTATCGATGCGTCGTCGATGTGTATGCGAAAATTGAGACTCCAGGAGTTCGAATTTTATCGCGTGCAATTTAACCGAAGCGTTACATTGTGGCAAAGCGCATCGGAACGCTACTTACGAATAGAACGAGGGAGCTCGCTCAGTCGGAAAGCAGTAGCAGAATGATGATGCATACGCTCTTCCGATGGGAGCTTTGCCGCTCTCCCCCGTCAATCTCGAGGAAGCGGTAGGTCTACGGCTTAATTTCAGATTAAACATCGTGGTATATCCTCGGAAGGAGGCATACTCGCGGTTCAGAAAGATAATCGATGATACCAACGTGTCGTCTCCGACGATGATTCGTTCGCGTCTTTTTATTGGGCACCGGTTTTTCGGGATCGCTTGCAAGGAACTGCAATACATTCTTTAAATATTTACAGGGACAGCTCGATAAACGGATCCTTCTGAGCCCAAAAAATGTGCATATGGTCATCGTAAATTATCACTACCTCGAACGGCACCCTTATTGACACGTTCAGACCTATAATACTGTCGTCCACAAGCATCATAAGCAAGCAATATCGATTCTTGAGGCATGATACGTGAAGTCGTTTCTGGCTCGGAGTTGATCATATGTTCGTTTCCTCCCTCGTGTCGCTCACGTGCGAACAGATACAGCCAAATGGAAATAAGCTAAGGAACAAAACAGTAGCAAGATTGAGGCTTGCGCCGTAACGGTATCGGACGAGTTTCGGCCCTGGGTGCGCCGTAGGACCTTCCCTCGCCTGATAACGTTTTCTTCGATTGATTCTGTCGTAGTCTTCGGAGCTTGAGGTTCGGTGGAAGTCGTTGTATCCGGGGAACTGCAATCGACGAGGAATTCAATTAAATCGACGGCGATCGAATGCTTTTTTCTCCAATCAGCGACTTGGTTGAAGAGCGTCCGAAGCAAGTGGAGATTACCCTGACTGGGTAACCATAGCTCGTCTAAGCGAACGAAGCGAAGTTAGTTCATGCTTTTGCGATAATTATTACCCACTTTGAGAGGAGTATGTTAGGCGACGTGGTGCCGTATTTCGGCAAGACGTCTCTTGAAAGATCGGGTAACCACGCAGTGTGGTTTTCCGAATTTTTGAAGATTCCAAGAGGATCCTTGTTTTTGATTAGAGGACTGCATGCGAATTAGTAGATGGAGGTGGATTAGCTAGTGTTGGGTTATTTTCTGGAGGTACCCGTCGGCTTTGAGCTCGCGGTCGACAGCCCAATACTGGGTCTTTCTCCGCTTCTCTCAATCGTTTCACACGTTTGAGCGGAAAATTAAATCGGATCCCTCAACGGGCTATGCGCCAAACATCTTGTCAGTCGACATCGCCTCTGTGGCCCCTGATGGAAGTCCGCCGTCACAGTACTAACCTGGACACGATGTATGGTTCCCAGAGGCTACATTTGTCTGATTTTGGTCCTTTGACAACGGTGAAGTTGTTGGGTGCCATGTATACGATTGCGGGATTAGCCTTGGTGTACAGTGGCCACTCTCGATCACTTCCTGGGATTCTTGGCTTTCTGAAATCGCAAAGATGGGATCTGTTGAGACTCTCGTTTTCACAGAATAAAAGAACAACGGGATTATCTCATGGATGCCAAGAGCAAGCGGTCATCGATCCGGGGGGTAGGACGAAAACATTGACGCACTTCCGTTCCGCTTGTGTACGGACAAGATAGAACGATTTTCGGGATACCATCAGTCGAAGGGAACATCGACCCGTCACTGCGAGCAGACTCGAGTCCTTGATCCTGATATGGCATACATACAATATATGGACATGCTGATTCATGTCTTTCACGAAAGAATGATCCCTTCAATGAGATCGTCCGCTGATACCGTATCATTGCCCACGTACGCTATTTCGAACTCTGACGTCACGAGGGAAATCTTCTCTATGGAAGTGATAATCGGCCACTGACTTCGGAAAATACCTACGGCGAAGATTATATATAAGCAGAAATATTGATGCTCCGCAGGCCTCCAGAGTTGACATAGGCGGTGAGACCCGATCGATGTCACGTAGGACATACACGAATGAAGTGAGTTTCGTGTTCCGAAATCGGCTTCCTCAGCAAGAAAACGAGTCTTCCTTCGGAAGTGACGGTGGCGGAGCTCGCACGTCGTTCGCCCGGCATCCGATCTGTGAGTCGCGACAACAGCGCAAATGCGTCCGCGCGGAATTATGCTTACCCAGATCGCATGAAATTAGCGATTTGTCTGATGACGACTCTGGAAAAGTGGTGTTCTTCGGGAGAGAATTTCTTTTGGGCATCGAGGAAGAATTTAGGCAGTTTCATTCGGAGCGTTCGACTATTCTCAGCCACCGAGTTTATCGATCCGAGCATGAAGGGGATGTCGTCGATGTGGGTCGGTTCGTTGCCGGTGTTCAGGTTTATTTTCACCGAGGGTTGATGAGCATAGACGTAATGTCGAACTTTCACGCCCGACGCCGCCGCATGCCTTGCGAAAATTTCCGTCGGGCAATCGAACACACAGTGTCCGACGATGTCACTGACTTTACGTACGAGTTCGTGGCTCGAGAATTCTCCTGTGGCGGAGTCCGCGAAGTAGGCATTGTATATTTCGGCGGATTCTCGTATCCCAATGCCGAACAGTACCTTCATCGCCAGGCGTATCGCCGCCTGCGGGGTCTGTCCGAGGAGATCGCTGAAGAAGGGTAGCCTCCGACCGAAGTTGTTGATGAAAAAGTCGCCTTCACGCAGAGTTATCCCGAGCATAACTTCTTTAATGTGGTACTTATTGCGATGCAGCTCGTCTACGGGATGATCCATGAGCTGGTCCACGGAGCTCGGGACGAGGTTCATAAAACGTGTCCGGAGCTCGTTTTCGATGCTCTTGAGGCTGTTCCGCGTGAGGTTTCTCGTTGTCAAGCAATCGACAGGATCGACTCCGTCGAGGCATGACAGAGTGTTGGCGACCGTTCCGAATAGGTCATCGGTCGAGGTTCTCTGCAAGAACTTCAGAGAGAACGAGGAGCCGCTCATCAGAAACGCTCGTTTAAACAACCCCCTCGACAATGGCGAGTAGGTATGAATCGCCGCTGAGAAGGCGCCGGCACTCTGACCACCAAGCGTCACCATTTCTGGATCTCCACCGAAACTTGCGATGTTTTCGCGCACCCATTTCAGAGCCTCGAGCTGGTCCCAGAGCCCCACGTTTCCCGGTATCCGATCGTCGGGCGATTTCAGAAAGCCGAAGATGTTCAATCTGTAGTTCACGACCACATAGATGGCGTCCGCTTCGGCTGCGAACTCGACCCCGTCGTAGAGCGCGAGTTGGTTTTCTCCCCAAACGTACACACCTCCGTAGAGGAACACAAACACGGGAAGCTTGACGTCCTGCTTAGGTGCCTCGTCCTCGTAGTCTTCTGCGCTATCGGATCTTCGGGGCGCGAAAACGTTCAAGTGCAGACAGTCTTCCACAGTGTCACTATTATCGATGTCCACCACTTCAGAATACTTCAGATCCAGCTGAAGACATCCGGGCCGCGCTTGTCTAGCGTCGAAGACACCTCCTTTGCGACTGATCGGCACCGGTCGTTGGAAGCGAAGCTTTCCCAGAGGTGGCTGAGCGTACGGAATTCCCATGAACGCCGAGATACTTCGTCCCATCCTCGATGAAAGGACGATACCTTTGACAGCTCCATTGCTGGGCAAAATCACCGTGGGATAGAGCACATCCGTTGCATTGGGCGCCGGCTGGGAGGTCACCACCGACTTTGAAACGACTTGTAGCGACAGCAGAAGTGACAAAAGATGCCGCCCCATGTCTGGCGGTTATGTATTGTCGCCTGTGGAACAACTCCGTAAGTAAAAGTGGGTTCGCGGATCGAGTTCTTAGGCGTCAGGCTCAGAAGAAGCGGGCGAGAGTTTTTCTTGGTTACTTAAACGACCTTCGGCAGCATTTCTTCTGATGCGCCGAGGCATTACAGAAAAAGTCGGCACAAATGCAAGTTCACGTAAATATATCACATCGGCGATAAGAAAAATTAGAGATGAGGCACTGCAACGCCTCTTGCTGGCATGAGATCGAGAACGCTGAGAAGGAAGCGCACTCTTATGAAATACGTATCGACTTAATCGCGAGAGAGAAATTTTTTGCGCAACACGTTCCAAACCCAAAATGCTGCTGCTCCACGCAGTGAGTCCAAGGCAGAATTGATCGACTACTGTGAATCAAAGCTTAATGCTGTCGCTTTTCTGATGACAGGTACATGAAGCTTCAAAATTCTCAAGGGTGAACGCTTCGAAAAGAAAATTCAACATATAGCTGTACGTAGTAATACAGTCACCAAATCCATGCGAGAAATGAAACACAGAAAAAGCAGCTCTTCGTGGGTGATCATCACGTCAGCGGTCCTTTCTTGAAGGCGAACACAGTCTGTTTGAGATGAGAGTCCAAAACCGAAATAAATCCAAAGATGAGAGATGAAGCGGGGAGGTGAGGCTCACACGATCTCCGAAAATATCGACCCAGCGAAGCGAACTGCCCCGAGTTGGAGGGTGCACTGAAGCACTCATCAGTAGAGCCTCATATGCTTCGGTGTGGTCAAGTTTTGGAGAGGTGCACGGCTCACCTGGATCGGAACTCATCAAGTCGAATCGCGCCGATCGCCACCATTCGGCCCGGCTCGACTAATTGAGGGTCGCGGATACTCGAGAAGGTCGATGATGAGATCGAATTATTCTTTCCGTACGGGTCGACACCTCAATGGATCCACGCGTCTTTTAATTTGGAAATCGCTGAGAGAAGACTGCAGCCCGAGTTAGTTCGAAGAAGTGATCCTCCTGCTGCGACTCATGTGTAGAAAAAAGTCTTGAGCCAATATTTGGCGCTCTTTGGAAGCCTCCTGGGCTCTTCCATTCCTCCAAGTCCCAAGAGAATTGTTGCTTCTAATCTTCGAATCCAGCAAGAGTTGGCCGTGCGAAACGTGTGGGTGGCGGTCGAGTCGATCCACCCTCTACGAGCTGGAGTGCAGAACTTCCGTCAGCCAGTGAGCACGTTCCACTCGCTTTGCTCAGGAACCGTGAAGGACATAAACCAAAAACACATTCAATCTCATGTGGATAAATGAGGCAGACGACAACGACCTTTGATTTCCGAGCGGGGACATTTGGATGGCGGTCACTCACGAACTCGGAGACGCGGAGCTCGGGAAAGAGAATCGTTAGACCTTTGGAAAGCTCGGAAATTACCATTATTTTCGCCATAGACGGAGAAGCCCCGTCCGAGAAGTACTCGTCGAAATGATGTATTCTCTAGCGTGATCGCTCATCAAGGCAGAACGTCAGTGCTCGTCAGACAGAGAGCGATGCTCCCTTCATCGAGAGAAAACAATATATCTGAGCCACTTTGGCGCCATCGGATTCGTCAAAGCGTCACCAGCTCACGACTAAAAATAGCCGTTCAACAGTAGCAGCAGCGAAGGCATCATAAACATTGACAGGACTTCCGCATCCAGTCGCGGTTGACCTGTATAGCTTTTCAGACCTAACATTACTGTCAGAGCAGAGCCGAAAATTGGTTTTCGAAGCCGTCTCAAATGCGAGACCTTGTCTCATTGACTTTCCGAAAGGGACGCGACATTCAATATTAATCGTCCGTCGTTTTGGGCCGTATGCCAGAATTACGGGTCCGAGACAAGAGTCCACACGCACAGGATATATTATGCAAGCTGTGTGCTGGGTGTCGTAAAACAGTAAAACTAGCAAACTTCGGTGCGGCACTGAGCCAGGGAAAACTTCTGATGCGTCGAGCGACTCGAGTCGGGTAACTTCTGGAATCCGATGTATCCAATCAGTGCTGATCCGAGTAATTCTCCCCAGATCTATCTAACACTGTTTCTGGTTCTCACCTAATCTATGTTGTAACTTCGAGTGCCGCGTCCGCAAAGCCGAATAGGTAGATAGATTCCCAAAAATCACGATCTGTGCCCTTATCTATCTTCTGTGACAATGAGTGTCTAATCGTTTCCAATGCTAGAATATTCGGTAGTGAGCACCCGCAATGGGTGACTAACCCGATCACGGAAACAAGCTGGTGCTGATAACGTCACCATGGAAGACTCTTAAGGTCAACTTCTCTCTGGGTATTGTGTTGACCGGTGACGAGATCGAGAATTCCTCTCGATGAACGAGTCAACGCAGACGCATCGAATTCGATGCCAGACTCCCGAGACGTATTCCGGAGAAGCTAGCAATTTCCGCGGTGAATCGACCTTCCGCCGATCGTACTTGAGCTCCGGATCGGGATAGCGTCGATTTTCCCGGAAGGATTAACGTCGCAATCGATAATGATAATCGTGTCGTAACGATGTTCTCCCGGAGCTTGAGATGCAAGATCCGGGTTCTCATCGGAGCGTTTCGCCAGAAAAGAAAACTCCGTCCGCCGATCACTCACCCGTTGTGTAGATATTCACCGATGATTCTCATGGTGTCGAAAGTCCACGAAACTTCCGCCGCGGTCATGTTCAAATCACCAACGTCGGGAACGACATAGGACTTCTTCACATTTTTCGCGTATCCGAGGGCCTGACCACTAAGAATTGGTAAATCGTCTCCATGCGCGGCCACAGAATACGAAGGCCAGGGTGACCAGCTGGGTCGTGCCTCGAACGATGCCCTGTACACGGGTATGCCGTTCGCTTCGGCGGCGTCTGTGAAGAACTCAATCGGGCAGATGAACAGCATGTCAGAGATGTATCTCTGCAGGATCGTCTCCGCGCTCTTCAGATCAGGCTCGGACTGATCATCGAAGTACGAGTAGGCGATTTTCGAGGCCGCGCTCACGGGTATCTGCAGCAGTTGTTTCGTTCCGAGGGCCATCATGAAACGGAGATCCCCCACTCCCTCGACGAGATCGGCACCGCGCACTCGCAGGATCTCGAGGAACACAACGCCTTCCGTAGCACATGATGTGACCAGGAGGCTCTTGGCCGAATGCAGTTTCTGTCTCTTCACGAAAGGATCCACCGGGATGAGATCGTCACCGATCACGGGTTGGAAAGAAATGATATCCAAATCGAATCCTTTCGGGGCGAGCTCGGAGAGAATGGTCTCAACATCCAGTTTCTTAGCACATCGGATGGCTTTGTCCCGGGAACGCTCGTACTGATCAGCATCTTGCAGACAACCCAATCTCACGAGAGTTCTCGCAGTCACTTCAGGAGAGTTCTGTTGGAATAGAACATGACCGGTTTTGGTTGCTCCTGATTGCAAGATGGCGTGGTGGAAGAGATTTTCTGTTATCGGTGAAGTCATGAAGATTCCGGCTGCGATCGCACCGGCACTATGTCCCCAAATCGTAATGTTTTCGGGATTGCCGCCGATGGCCCGAGCGTTCTTTTTCGTCCATCGGAGACCTTCGAGGATGTCCCAAAGACCTTGGTTCCCAGGTGCCATGCTCCCGCCACTGGTCAGGAAACCGAATACTCCCAATCGGTAATTGACAATCACGTAGATGACGTTCGTCTCGGTGGCCAGAATGTCCCCATCGGTGAGGAAGAAGTTCGCGGATCCGTGCAAGAAGCTTCCGCCGTAGATATAGTAAACAATCGGCAAGTCGGTCTCGTTGGTGACAGGTTTGAAAATGTTCAGGTAGAGACAGTCTTCGGAATTCCTTGTGAAGTTGATGAAGGTTTTCTCACTCAGCGCCACTAAGTGCTGAGGACAATCGGGATGTTCCTTCGTCGCGTCCACCACGGCCTCGGGGTCCTCGTACGGGACCGGCCGCTCGAATCTCAGATCGCCGACCGGGGGTCTCGCGAACGGAACCGAATGGTAAACCTCGCCATCTACACCGTTCTCCGAAGTTTTCAAGAATCCGTGTAGTTTCCCGGTCGATGTATGCAACACCGGATCGGCGAGGACCAAGGCAGGGAGCAATAAGTACACGAACATCTCGGCACGTTCTGCGAACAAGGATGAGTACGAGTAAAATTGTTGCTTTTCAACCGAGCAGTCAGGTGAGGGCACGTGGATTAAAGGACCAAGAAAGGGCATTCGAGGAAACGCGAGCTGTGCTCCACCGTGATTTCGTGTTCATCAGATCGATTCCGATCGCGGCGTGGCATACCGGAGTAAACTGTGATCAGAATGATTGAGCGTGCGGGGCACTTATATCGAAACTTCTGAACCTTGCCAAACCGCATCGGAATAAATGCTGCGGCGTAAGTTCACGCTGTGGGAGGGTTTTCCCGACGAAGTACTGGCTTTGTTTGTGAAAATCAAGCATCCTCATCGATGGATAATTTTTCCTCCCCAGAAACAGCTGCGATAATTGCTCGGAATCGGAGCGGGAAACTATGTTGCCGGACGGATCGTCTGGCCGCAATAAAAGCTGGCTGGCTTCGAATGAAAACGATCGAATGGTCCGGCGTCCTAGCATGTATTATTGCTAAAGGACACAAAACGACCCGACCTGTCCCCGCTGCGAGCGGGGCGGAAAGCTTGACAGACAAGCCGCTCCCCACGAGCGTCGTCCCGTGGGGCCAGCATTGACGGAGACGTCACGTCAGCAGCTGTTCTCCGGCAACCCGCGCAATCGATTGGTACTCGCGGTTTGCGACGGACGGTGAAAAGAACTTTCGAAGCGTGGGTATTTCTCGTCACTGTCTCAGCGTCAACCCCGTAGCAAAAGCTTTCGGTCCAAGTACGGAACACCAACAGCAAAGGTTTATATACAGCACTGCTCACCTTGCCAACGTACGAAGTGTACTGCCGACTTGAAGTACTATCTCGAACCGAATGTTCGAACGATAAAGAATTTCTGTGTTTTCAACCTGCAGCGGATACCGAATTACCTCTCACAGCGCCGCCGCTCTGCGGCACGTAGCCGGCGCTTGCAAAGCTGTTTCGCCCGATTCCTACGTCAATGGGAATATTTTCTTCCCGTTTTCCTCTGAGTTCTTCTACCCATCATCGACCCATTATCGCACGGCGCTCATCGCAGATGTCCGAGAGGCAATTATTAGGGCCACGATTGATAAGATAGCACTTGACTTGATAACAGGAGATATAAAACACGACGATTGAGAGATAGTTTCTCCTCACACCATCCATTGGAGAATTCCGACCGATCAAGGGCAATCTACCTCTTGAGCATGTAAGGACGGAATCAGAAAAGAGAAATTATTATCTCCCTCGTTTAGCAGGCTATGATCGAATCGGAGCTCTTCGATAGATTGCGAGAAGACGACGGCGACGTACTCGGTGCGTCCTTTCATTCCGGAGTGTCCGAAATCGTAGGACGATTTGGAAAGGGCGGCCGCATTGAATCCTCGAGGGATTTCGGGGAGTTCCTGCGCGATGGAGGAACGACCGACTTTGCGGAAACTCCGAATTTTTCAAGAGCTGCCTCATGGCCTGTCCAGAGGGGTCGAGTCCTATGTATTCCGTTCGCTGTCGGATCCCCTCAGAGCTGACTCTTCTAGTCTGTGGCTAAATCGGGAGAGCATATGCGCGTGGCTGGATAATGGCCGGAACTTGCTGCTGACGGCGGAGGCTGCGAGGACCCTCACGGAGACCCTCGGGAAACCGAATGCGCCCTTCGACGGGCGGGGACCTAGGCCGCTGACTACCCGACCGTTTCGTCCGCTTCCGCAACACGCCGACGAAACGAGCGGAACAATTCCGATCGCTTCGCTCAAGTGGACGATCATTTTCGGAGGCTCGTCGGGGTTGAGCTGCCGGATTCTAGTCGAGAATCATCAGATTGCACAATCGATGAGGAGGGGATTCAAACCACCGTGGAAGCCCTCGATATTCGATTCCGATCCGGACCGACCTGGTCGGCAAGTCCCCCGATGGACGCGTGTGCGAGAATTCTTCGAGAACCACATCGAGCAATATATGTACATAGGTGCAAGTCAAGGACCATCTCATTGTGTCAATCATTCTATCGAGGCAAGACGACGCGCGAGAAGTGCCGGCTCTTGAAAGGAAGGAGTCGGAGTTTCTCTGAAGACGGCAGTGAACGATCGAGAGTCGAATTACGGCTGCCAAAACTTCCGTGGAATTGTTTTTCCTGACTCTCGCCGATTCTCATGTTCCTCTTCATGCGAGGGGCGAGTACGGTATGAGGATTGCCGAACTAATGATGCCGAGACTTAATAAGCTTGTAAAAATGGAAAGACGATTCTTCTCAATAATTGCGGCTCCCCTCCAGATATACAGCTGGTTTCTTTCCAAGATTGTTTTCATGATTGCGGAGTGTATTGACGAAGATCCATCGACGGGTTCTTATTCCGCGGCTAGAGATTGACAGACCTTGACCTGGCACGACCGTCAGGAAATCGCCCAATTTTCGGACAACTCTCTGATGGATTCATGAAACTGAATAATAATATTTCACTCGTCTAGCCCTTGCGTCATGATATGTCTGATTCGATCCATCGTAGCTAGTTGATCGCAAGATTAAAATCCATCCAAAATCTTGCTGATGACGACCTACTCTCAGGTTCATGCGAGGAAGTTTCTGGTTGCGTGCGTCTGCCTCGTAATTGTGAGTATTCATCATTCGAGTCCCGAAACCATTTATTTTGGCGCCATCGCGGCAAGCCCCTATGTCTGACTGTATTTCTCTGGATTCGATAGCCAGAACCTATACCGTTCCAGTCGATATTCGATTTTATGGCCTGCCTCGGAGTCGAAGGGCGCCGACTTGATTTTGCGCAAGGAAATCGATAAAAACCCGTGCACACGGATGCATGGAACACTCGCGGTAATGATTTCCTTGCAGACTACTGATTTCATGCGAAGGTAGCCGGCTGAGAGAAAACAATTAGGAACCTCTACGTTTCGGCTGAAGGGTCTCCCAATGAAATTCGATTCGAGAGAGACCCAACAGTTTGTAGGATCCCGTGATCGATTGTCTTCTCGGAATCCATCTGAGTCGACTTCGCGCGCTGACAACCACACCTCAAGCCTCCCAGAACGCGGAGACTCGTCTCGTCCCGCAATTTTTTTTCCGAGGTACCAATGCACTCAAAGCGCTGCATTGGTTGGAATCTCGTTCCTTCGTCAGTAGTCCTTGTTGTGAGCTGGAACGCAGGAGACCGCATGGAAAAAAACACTTAGAAATGGTGGAAGGAGATAATCGAAGCGGACGGCCCGTCATAGTCGAATCAATATGCCGCGCACGTCCACCGATAATGGTCTGAGAGACGGAATGCCTACACGCCGACAACCGTTTTCAAGCTCGTCTGGCCTCTGCTAGACAATGTTGGCACAGGAAGGCTCTCCCGATGAACTTTCCTAGAATACCATCTGTTCTGTCAGCGTCTTTCCAATGATCAATCTGACTGCTATCATAACATTGTGCCACTTTGGAAAGCGAGAAGTGAGTGAATAATGAATTCTTCGTCGCCGATGTGGACTTCTCGAGTCTAACGATTCCTCTTCGCCTGTCCGGATTACGGAATCCATTCATACGCGGTATAATTATCGCGGAATTATGGACGCGATAAGGAGATTTGCTTAGCTCATTCATTGATTGGCACTACATCGAGGTGGAATCATGGATGAGCCAAGAGATTTACGGACTTGGCGAGATCTTCAGTTGACGCGGAAATGATCGGCGGTTCCTCGTTTAGGGGGAATCATGGGTGGATCATCAGAGAAAAACTGCGTAATATAGATAAAGCTCCCGTTGGAATAAAACGAGGCGACGACAGAAAGCGATCAAGACATATCACGGGGTATGGGAGAGCGGATAGCGTTCGGCTCTGATTTAAGCGCGTCTCGCAGCGCACTCGTCTGTGACATGCATTTCTGTGGACCAACGAACCGCAATGAGCTGTGCGATCTGGTTCCTTCCCAGGAGAACCTTGAATACGAAACGCTCCGGACTTCGGAGAAAGTTGAGCCAGTTTGAGCTACCATTAATTATTGGTTTTGCATCTTTGGCCAGAATAATTATCGTGATATCTACCGCATTCTACGACGACAATTGGCGGGCAAGAGATGTTAATGACCATCAGAGGAACAGAACTCGGTCAGGATTCAGTTCATCAGCCAAGTCATTCCTCCCCGACAGAAATACACGATCGTGTTTCGTCCCATGACCGTGACTGTAGGGGAATAATACATTCAGACGTTCTCCGAAAAGCCCTCGACGACTGGGATATAAGACGGGTCTTGAATATATTTCGGATAAATCATAGCTGAAGCATCGTGCGGAAAAGTCGCGAGTTTATTCGGCTCGGCTCGCTCCTGTTCCCATGAGAACCGAGTGAACGAAATCGAAATGTTTTGGAAACGGGCTTCGGGAGCATGGACGGAGTCGCTCCGAATGCAATGCTTCTTGATTGTGAAGGTCGCTGTCTCATCCACGAATTCAAAGTCGTCAAAAGCGTCCTACTGATAGCATATCGCGGAATCATGGAAAAATCCAGATATTTGCAGAATGTTCGAATTAATTCAATCCCGACGATCTCAGCATAACCTCGATAGACCCTCGGAAATTTCCTACCGAACATCGGCCCGACGGACTCGTGCTTGAAATTACATTTCTGTACCGTCGTTATCAAGCTGAAAAAGTGTAACAAGACTCGACGGCCACTCACCTCCCGTGGAAGAAGTCGCCGATCCACTTGACGATCACGTCACTGAAGTCATAGTCAGATCTCGATACGTTCACAAAAGAGTTCATCATTGCACCGGATAATCCTTTTCCCGGCTTGTAGAGGTCCAGGTTTCCATGCATTAAAGCGATCTCTTCGGCATGGGACATCGAGGCCCATTTTGGCACGAACGAGAAGTCCGGTCTGAAGTGAAACTCACCGCGGGAGACTCGGACCCCCCGATCTCCAGCGGTAGCTGACCGGAATTCTGCGGGACAATAGAAAAAGGAATCCGTGAACATCGATGCGATGCCCCTCTGGATCTCGATTTCCCTCAACTCCTTCGACAGCCTCGACTCGTCAATGACGTCGTCCGGGATGTAGCGCCGAATAATCTCAGCGCTTTTCTCGTACGGCAGTCGGAGCACGACTTTGAAGGATATTTTGAGAATGGTGCCCCAGTCGATGGACGTTATGTCATTAGTTTCATAGAGTTTCTTGACGAGACCTTCCAGAATTAGGAACGCCTCGAGCTCGTTGCTAACGACGAAGAGCTCCTCAACCGACGGGTCGATGTGCGGCGAAGCGACCACGTCTTTTTTCAGAAGCTTGCCATCGATGAAAGGCTGGATGGAAACTTTGTCGATGGTCCCGCCCTCAGACCTCGTCTTGATTATGTCCTGCCAGGGGACTTCTCGCAGGCATGACAGGAGTTCTCGATCGTGTGCTTCTCCATCGGGCTCCGCCGAAGAACAGCCCAACGTATAAGCGAGTTGCCGACTCTCGTATTCACCGTCGAATTCGAGGAGGAACTTCGCGAGTCCCGCGGAGCCCCCTTCGAGTATCGCCCGTCTGACCAAGCCGCTTATCGCGTCTGATTTCAGCAGAAAATCGATCGAGATCGCCCCCGCACTCTGACCCCAGAGCGTCAGTTGCTCAGGGTTTCCGCCGAAGGCCTCGGCGTTCTCGTGAACCCAGTGTACAGCCCTCACAATATCCAAGAGACCGACGTTCGTGTCCGAGAGAACGGGGAGGTTTATAAAACCGAGGACACCCAATCTCATGTTCATGGTGATGTAGACGATGTCCGCTCGAGGAGCAAGTCGCGTTCCATCGAACGGGAACCAGCCTCCGCTCCCGGCAACGAATATCCCACCGTGGATGTACAGAACGACCGGTAAATTCGACGCGTTCGCAGGTGCCCAGATGTTCAGATAGAGACAGTCCTCGTCCTGTTCGCCGAAGTCTGCGACGACCCATTTCCCGATCGATATTTCGGGGCCCGGACAGCTGAATTTCTTCTCGGTCGCATTATAGATGCCGTCGGAGAATAAGGGAGGACGGGGGGCTGCGAACCTCAGCGCTCCCACAGGAGGTTGGGCGTACGGTACCCCGAGGAAGGCAGCTGTCCGACCGAAAGGAGTCTCTACGTCCAAACCACGCACGGTGCCTTGGCGCAATTGAACTTGGAGCGCACACACGTTGGGAACCAGAAGAGCACAAATTAGGATCAACCGAGCCATCGTGATGTGTCAGTGATTGTAAGCGATCTGTACTCAGAGAACTGTTCGAGAAGAGTGCCCTACGATTTTGCCCTCTCCACTTTGGGAATGTCTTCCTCAATGATTACTCGTCCCTCCTCAAACTCTCGACGGGTCCAAATTTCCTCGATACTGAACTCCGCAACAATTCTCCAATCGTGCAGGAACGGGCATCTGTCTTGTTCAGAAATCTGCCATATCACCTGTGACCTCGGATAAAATTGCTCATTCTGCGCTCAGATAATTGTATTAATGGTTGTTACCTCTAAGTGAATTCACGTAATAGATTAAGAGCAAGAAGCGTCATCGCGTAGAGATTCAGTGCTACCTACATATCAAGATGAGAGAACTCATCGAAAGTCCTTCAACCCTCCGATGCGATTGTCTCCGAGCGGAGCAATATTGGTTTCTTTGAAGTAATCGAGCTTGTTCCGTTGCATTCCCTCTGGGGCCGAGAATACATTTCAATGCAACTCGTCCCACGACTATCTCCAACGGGAAGCCAGATAATTTCTAGAAAATCACCGCGAGAAATCAGTCTCTTGAGATTTTGGCTCGGGATAAGTCCATGCTGGATAGAGACCCTCCGGAACCAGTTCGTTTGGAGTGTTTTCTTCTTCCCGACGATTAGATAACTGTTCTCGACTGATGGAGCGTCCCGAAACAGCAAAACCGGTTCGCCTTGTCGCAGTACCGAAAATCGTTGGAAGTTCCATTCACTCCGAAGCCTCCAATGTTGACATGTTCGATGAAGGCGATACTCATACTAGGCGTAGTCGGCATACGGAATTCGCTGCGCCGCCGCAATAAATGCACGAATGCTGACGTCAAGTGAGCGTCGCGTCCAAATCGATCTTTCGTTCATAATTCGCCCGCACAGAAGGTGCGGCTTCGATGATAATGATACTGGGAGTCAATGCTGAGCGAGTACTTGGACGTGGAACTGTGGCCATGGAATAAAAATTCCCGAATTCGCATCACGTTCCCAGGGAGCTCCCGAGCTGATCTTGCCAAAACGATGCTCCCGGACGACAAGCCCGCACTCTGGAAATCGATGAATGATCATGGAAAGGCGCTGAGGCGAAATTCCAGCTCAAAACGATACAACCTCCATCCTTAAGCGGATTTGCGGATTAGAGGTGAAGAGCCCGCATAGAAAGAAAACCCCTGATTGAGCGAAATCTGAGCTCGATCATTCAGTGGGTCCTTGTGAACCTTCGCCGAGTATTTCCACGCAACATCGTGTCGATGACCGCGGCCGACGCCTTCTGGTTCGATGCTCACGTATCTGCAGGAAAATCGTTTAACCCAGGGGTGTCAAACCCGTGGCCCGCGAGGTCTCTTTTTGTGGCCCGCCTCTATTTCCCGCATACTCGAAGCCGACGATTTCGAACGAGTACTTGGAAACTGGATGAGATCGGTGGAATCAATCCCTCCGTAAGACCGAACAGGCGAACAGCTCCCCCCTCGATCCCCGTAGGGTGGAAAAGCATTCTTTCATGAATGATAGGCATATATTTTCCTTCTAAACGGAAGTGAATTTTTAATGTGGCCCGCGGGCACCTGCAGCGCTCGATTGTGTCGCGCCAAAAATTTATGTCCGACACCCCTGGTTTAACCCATACACTGGTTTGTGTATTCGATGCTGGTCCGCAAATCTGCCCGAGCAGAGGCGACGCATCTTCGCAGAAATGCGAATTCTGTAGGGGATCGCATTATGCCGGCGGCGCCGAACATACTGTTCTGAAAATCTTCGTTTCTGAATTTGCATGTAGTCGATCACGAAGCCTCGGTTTCAGTCACAGCAGAAGCATCGGATTAAATCTTGCTTCCAGCAGCTGCAATGGATGCTTTCGGCTGCTCACTTCGGATGGACTGACTCATTTTACGAGCGATTGAGCCAAAGGGAGCCACACAGGGACTGCTGGGGTAGAAATTCTGATTTCGAGCAGGCGAGCCGCCGTGATCTCTGATTTGCATTCCGTAGGTGTCGGCATCCACTTCTGGCCGGGAGTCTCGGGTCGGCTTCCCGGGGGAAATTTCCACGGTCGTGAATCAGTCTGAGCCTTCAGAATGGAAACTGCTGCCCTTATCCAAATCAGCGGAGCAGAGTGACCCTCATCGGAACTCGAGAACGCCGGATATGTTCCCGGCGGAACCATTGACAGATAGCGTACTCTTCCGCTAGCAGACTCTCGATTTCGTCACAGCCATTATTAAGGGAGGTTCCAGCAGCCATTCCAGCACCCAATCCAACATATCTATATCGCAGCCCGAATGCAATTTACGCTGTCATCTTCAAGTCAGTGACTCCCTGCTCTCTGCATACCTGGGACCACCGGGAGAAATCTGCTCGAGGCATCACGGCCGGACATGCTCCGCGGTTTGGAAAGCATTCTGAGACAAGAATGAGAGCTTCGTGGAAGCTTCTGGACCGCTCCCGGATCAGAAGTGAGGATGATGCTTGAAATCAGAGGTGTGGAAATCGAAAGTTTTCCAATCTCAGAGGGACGCCCCTATCTGGGAGTCGAGAGAGTGAGTCTCACTTGGGTTCCTTCCACAGATTTTCCACGGCACCATTAGTTTTTCCCTCCAGTGTAAGATGCCATGAGCAGATACTTGCATCTCGTAGATGTCCCGAGAAGGTCTTCCAGTAATCCAAGCAGATACATATCATTTTTGAAATTCTGCTTTGCTTGAGCTGCGCGGATTTGGTGCCCGGCTTTCCAGTATACGCGGCAAAAGGAAGCTCGTTCAGATCCGTTCCACGCTCGACTCCCTAGTTCCTTCAGGGACGCCATTGATCAGATCCGCCGCCGGAGGCTGCGTCTCTCACCGAAATCTGATTTTGCCGCGTCTCCGCCAAGCTCCGGCTGAGGCTCCTCGACGCCTGGACCGAAAAAAGACATTCCGTTCCGCCGCAGCGGGATTCCTTGTTTTTGGGTGCCGTGCGTAGAACCTCGGATTTTCCGGAACGAGGAAGCTCACGCGCAGGGGCACCCGTGTCGGCGGCCGCAATCGCGGAAGCGTGGACGAGCACGCAATCGCGAATCCGAATTCCCGCCCCCTCCAATTGACTTCTACGATACGGATGGCGAGACTCTGTGCAGGATATTTCTTCTATTTCCTTCTCTGTTGAGGCTTACGAATCATTCTGACCGATGTTTACCGCGGAGCTAAGAGGAACATGAGCGATGCTCGGAGCGGTCGTCTGCGGAGTCGACGCGCAGCGCCGCCCAGACGCTGAGGGGTGGCGGAGAACCGTGAAGACGAAGCCGTGGCGAAATTCCGGGGAGTTGAGCCTCGTACACAGATTGCAGAACCGGCTTGGATTCGCTGCGCGGTCCGCGCACAATCCAAGCCAAAACCACTAAGTTTCGACTGCTAGTTTCGGACGACTTCCAGGTCATATATCCTCATTTCGACGCAGGGAGGAGGGAGCTCCCTTGAATGGGACGCAATTTGAACTTCCTTGGAACGAGAGAGGGCGCGAAATGCAGCCGATGCGCTCATATTCAAGCTGACCCCAGAGCTTCCTCAATTTCGGGTCCGACAATGGGACCTGGGGCCTGATTGAGCAAGAGCGACCAGCGGATGCGATTCGCCTGCGAACGTTTCTCGGCATCCGCCTCAGATTCTAGTCACCTCATTACCGGAGAAATCTCGACGTTCAAGATTCACCAGCAGTCGGCGCGACTTGCCAGCGAGGGGCTAGACTGACTTTTCTCCTATGTCTGATGGATCGATTTCCCCCGACTCCCTCTGGATGCTCTTTCGGGATTTGCAGACTCGTCTTCCTCGAGCACAAAAACGGAACGAGTTCTTGTCAAAAATGTCACTTGTTCTCCGACGAATCGCTAGTGAGTCGCAATGACTCGTTAACGACGCGTCGCGTTCGGAGGAGCTCTCTTTGTTATGCGAACTCTTTAGTTCTTCGAAAACGTTGCGACGCACGCCGCCTCAGAGATTCTCTGACAACGATGAGTGAGTTCAAGTCGGAGTCTGCTCGTTCCCGACATAAATCCGGCATGCCTCAACGGTCAGATTAGAAGTGTTCAGTGAGAACCTCGAGTCTCATCTACGAACCTCGAGGGAGGATCCGCAAGGAGCTGTGACGTGGTTGGGTCACCACGATTCGCGAGCGGCAACCTCCCGCAATATAAGGAGCTATGAACCGAGCGCACCCACAGAGCACAGGCGCATTCGGGAAGAGGACCACATAGGGTGAGTTATTGTACCGTTCTACATATTTCACCATGAGCAACGAGGACGCCATGAACGCTATGGCGGAGGGCACAGTTTCAACATGACCATATGTTGAGCATCGATGCTGCGGTCATTTTTCCGTGCGACTTGATTTCGGCGTGATATAAGCCGAGCAAGTGTCCTCAACTTCAGCGACTCGGGGAATCTCTGACCGACGCAGCTCGCGTGCTTAAATCTCATTTGATCAAAATTGTACAGTTTGGAGGTTTGAATCTAATGCTTCAGTGGCGTTGTGAGATTTTCGCGCTATTCTAATAATCGAATTTCCCCTGGTGCATCTAGATAAAAACGGACCTCGATTCCCAAGATGTTCATGAAAACGTGTGTCGTGTCAGCTGCCTTCATGGCGCTGATCGCTTCGACAATGGCCAAACCTGACCCCGAGAGTGCCAATGTGGCTTCAGCACCCCAGGAATACTTCGGTGAGCCGCCAGAGCCCTTCGATTCGACCTGGACGCTCCCTCGATCCGTGTGCTTTGCTGGCCGGCCGTCTCGATGAGGCGCGGTTGCGAAATGGGTGACCTCCAAGATTCTATGCTGAGAGGAGAATGCTGACGCGCTGAATCGTTCTGCGGGAAAAGCGCAGTCAGGATATTCCTTCTCATCTGAGCGTGATAAGTGATAACCTAGAACAGCTCTCCAGTGGATAGCACATTGGAGGAATTTCATGCTTCGGCTCCAGAGATCGAGTCCGCGATGCGAGCTGGATCGAATAATTGAACCTCGCAATCGCTTTCGGAAGTGAAATCACAGATTGGTCTCTCAATCTCGACAGATGCTCCAGTCGATGCGGAATACATCATTTTGAAGAAAGCCGACGCGGCTCCCGCCCATTGGAACCGCTTGTACAATGATTGGGGTAAAAGGTAAATTACGAGACAGTTCCTCCCCCTCTTTATATGCTCTACTAGGTCTCTCTATTCTCGGAACGCAGACGGTCAGATATATATATCCTCATTTTACAGAGCCGATCAATGGAAAAACTTGAACCATATGTGGGGCAAGCGATCGGCACCGGCTCCTAACCGGTGGGACAAACGACCTCAACCGCAGTGGAACGAGTTGTCCGGTTATTGGGGCAAACGTTCGTCGGCCTAGTTCTATTGAATCGGGTCGACGAAGAGGAATGAAATTTTCAATATCCGTTCCATTAGTGACCTTATGTTGACGAGGACGTCGCGGGAGAGGGGAGAGGGACAGCGGGGCTCTCCAGGTTCGTTCTGGTGGTCTGCAGGACGGGAGATCCTTTGCCACCGGCAACATTGTCGCAATCAAGAATCTCAGCTTCGCATCTTCTAGGACGGATCCCCAAGTCGCACCAAACACCTCCAGTCGCCATTTTCCCATTCCTCAGTTGAACCGATTGAACGTTGACTGATATTCGAACGAATAACAAGAGAGAACACACGACAGCAGTAATCAAGCGAATATTTGAAGAAAAAACACGGTCGCAATGCTCATCCTCTCGCACTGGATATTTCCGCTGTGGACGCTACGAATCACAACATCTGATACAACCAACACTCAGACTGGCAGAATCAATAAATCTACGTCATATGATAGTATCGATAGCAACTCTGTGTTTGTGTGATGAATTAGCTCATGACGGAACGTAGAAGCGTCCGTCGCTCCCTTCGTCCGCATGAGACAAATTCTACGCTAAACGCTGAAGCATCGGTCGAGTTACCGTATTCTCTCTAATAGTGGGGCACTCTCTTTTACTCGGGCACTCTCCATTAGACGGGCACCTTTTCGGAAGATGAAAATATAGAAGGGCACTCTCTAATATACAGGCACTCTCTATTAGAGGGGCACCTTTTTGAGGAGGATAGAAAATGATTTCTTGAGAACTGCTCCTGATTGGAGAATGAGCTGATGATTGCTCCCGATTCCTTGAGAACTCCACGAACTGGTTGGGAAATGAATTGACACGCTGCACACGGTAATCCATCTCGGTATGTTGAAATTATAGAGGGGCACTCTCTAATATTCGGGCACTCTCCAATGTAGGGGCATGTTTCGGAAGCTCGAAAAATAGAGGGACTTGCCCCACTATTAGAGAAAATACGGTACTCGACTCGAGTAGTTGTCAGGGTATAAGAGGTCTCTCAGGGGCCCCGATCTTTCCCCCGGAAAGGACCAAGGAGCCTTCCATTCCTCTGTAGGGGCTCCTCCCTGGCTGGAATTCCGCTCGGAAGCGTTCAAGGCATGCCGCGAGTCGCGAGCGCTACGAATAATTTGAGGGCGAGAAACAGGACTTAGACATGGACGTCCCTCGTGGCCCACGAGGCGAGGGGTAATTGAAGAGGAAGTTTGCGTCTGAATCCCTTCTGAGGAACCATGTATATTTGGAAATTAAAAATGTCAGCTCAGACATCGTCCGGCTGTTGTTGAACGAACATTTCCAAAGTTTCCTTCTCTATAGGGATTACTAAATAATCCACCCCGTCATGCCCTTTCTTGAGTCGAATCATATCGTGATCGACGAACTCTGTCAGTTGAGCCCTCAAAGTGAGATCTGAATTGACGAGGAAAGCTTCACGACATTGATGGTAACACGTTTGGAATGGCATGCCGCGGAAATTCGACGTGGAGTTGTTTTCCATTGTGTAGTTCGCTATCAGGAGGAATATCTGGAAGGAAATGAAATCTATGAATGCTGGTCAGCGATAGGGCTCAGATTGAAGTCCCCATATCATATCGGGAACGAACGACCGGCTTCTCGATTATGGACTCACTCTCTTTGCGTTGATAGTCAGGGAAGCGAAAACGTGTTCGAGCGACGAAAGAGTATTTGCCGCCGAGCTCCGCAAAGCGTCTGATGAGAGCTCAACACTGTACGGCTCGTACGTAGTGGCGTCAATCCAAACCCATCTGGAAGCCGACGGAGTATCACAGTTATTCTTCTTGTTGCTTCCGGGGAGAAAACTGGAACCATTCGCTGTCCGGGATAGAACAGCCAGTTTAGACTTTCACCTCATCGCTCTCGCGCGGTTGAGATCCCACAGCAGCGGTGCGTTTATGTGGTTTACAGTTCCGATGAAGTGGAGCATTGGAGCACTTGCTAATGTTTCTAGAGCTTGGAGGCTCTTCGCGGAAATGAGGGGTGCGGCATCGATGCAGTTTACGAGCACGAACAGATGTTCTGAATTAGTTTTTCTGAAGTGTGAATTTATGAAATCCAACTGCGGAGGATGAAGAATTCCAATTAGGTTTCTCGACTAGCGCAAACTCCAACGTTCGCGATAAGTCCCAACTGTCACGGGTGATTGAAAGATAGGACAGAAAGTTCCTCCGATGAAATTGTGTCAAGCTGGGCCGATCTGAGATACCTGAGCTTGTAATCCGATCAATCCCTTCGGCCGGGAACCGCTAATCGCTGCGAGGATATTCGTGACGATTTCTTGAATCGAGCATGTTGGTAGGAAACCGTTCACTGTCATCGTCATGAAATTCCGGTCGTAGAGGAAGTCGCTCAGTTTCTCCAGGAGGTGATATTTGGAGCCGAGGCCGTAGAGAAGCAGATTGGATCCTTCGATGCATAGAGATTCCCTGCGGAGAGCAGATATCCCGTAAGCTTGACACCAACATTTTTTTCTCGTATTTTTCAACCGACCAGTGCGGGAATCAGAAGGTCGCGGAAGCCTAACCAGAAATCGAAGCTTCTGATCAACTTGTCCAAGAGCTTCCTCCTGTTCTTGGCATGCGGATCCTTGTCATTTTCGAGACACGCAGTGATTTGTTCTTCAGTTAGCATGGCTTCTCCGAGCTTGGACAGCGTGTGATTCGTGGTCATTTTCTTCACCCCCCGACTGTTCTGAGAGAAATAATCCGATGCGTCGTCAGCCTCCTGAAAAGTTCACTAGTTGAGTCATGTGGAACAGTAAACCGACGAAAATTGGGTACTCATAATCATTCTCTGAAACTTGGACTCTTGAATTCCGTCAGGAGTCCGGAACGTTCTCGAGGAAGTACCTCGTCTAGAAGAGCACCCTCGCTGAAATCGTCGTCATCATTCTCACTTTCGTCTGAATCTTCTCGGTTCTTGAGATTTTCTTCTCGTATTTTCCCCAATCTGCTAGCGATTTTCCGTCTGACGGCGTGCGGGGTGTTGACATCGTGAGGCTTCCTCGCGCTTCTCGACGACGGAGTGGTCTGTAAGCGAATTAAAGTTTTACATTAGTATGGCTCAAGATCCGGATTCTCGCTGGGGGCGATCGGAGTCATTCACTGCTCACCGCTTGAGCTTTCGTCGTTCGAGTGGTGGGGGTTCGAATGCCTTTATTGGCTTTCTGAACGAGTGTGAGCTTCACCGAAGGAGACTGTGATGGGAAATTGAACATATCTTTCCCAGCCGATGCGTCCACCGATTGAGCGCCCTGCATTCTACGCTCGTCTGCGATTTCATCGCCACTATCACTTTCTGAAAAATATTAAAACCAATCTCAAGCAATGCGAGAGCTTGTCAAGGAAAAATCTCCAAGTAGTGGCCCGTGTTGTGAGCGGTCCTCACCAGTTGCGTCGGAATTCTCCTGGAGAAAGAGCTCGTTCATGTTCGAGAGTTCCTGTCGAGCGAATTGTTTCTTTGCGATTTGCTCTTGCTTTTCCACGCAAGCTCTGCGTGGTCGGGAATCATTTCGTTCCATGGTGGACTAAGCGTATTCCATAAAAGTAAAACAAAGAAGCACTAGCACGTTGGGGTCCCCGAGCAACTTGTTCGGCGATCAGCTGCTCTAGGAAAAAGCGCCAAAATTGTTTCGCCTGCGCAGCGCCCTCTGGTGACAGTCTGGGGCAGGATCTCTGGATGACTCGAAGACGAAAATGCTATTCCGAGGCTTGAGGCTCGCGCTGCGGCTTCCGCGTACTACGAATTCGCCTCGATGAAGGATAATACAAGCAACAAGAATGCCGGCACCGTCTATTTCGGATTGTTCTTCGGAATACTAGCAGCTCTGTCGAAAGCAAAACTCGCACGGAGTCGATTCCTCGATTCGGATCGAGTCTGTGTATTTTCAATCACCCTGGCTGAGCTCTGCTTCGCGGTACAAGGCTGCTCATCTGGAACGGAGAGTTTGGGGAATACTCTCTCTCTTACGGAGCTCTTCCTGAAGTGCCTCGCGCATTCTCTACTCGTGAACTCAGCCTTGCCGAACAATGTTCATCCAGCGTTCACGAGCTTTTTCCGAGAGGGGTTCCCCTTGAATTTTATGAGGGAGACTCTATGAGGGAGGTCGATCGGAATCACCAGGTTCTAAGCATGATCAAGCCCGGTATCTTGAACACTACGGATCCGTCCGTGATCCTCTCCCACAACACAGTGTCTGGCTGATCGCTGTCCGAGTAATGCTCGCGGAACCAAAAGCTCTTGCTCATGTCGGGATCGAGTGCGCTCGTGCTGATATCATGTACCTCCGTCCAATTTAGTGGAATGAACCCGCGATCGCACAACGCGTCATCAGTCTCAGTCGCGTCGGAGTATCCGTCCCCCGTCGGGGAGGGTAGTCTAGAAATCCAGAGCTTCTCCCGTCCTCGGGAGACCTGCGAAACCTGTTAACGCTGCGCTCTGATGGATCGCAATCCTGACAATCACAATCCTGACAATAGCAATCCTGGGGTGAGGGCTCCTCCAACTCGGAGACCAAGGACAGCGAGTAGCGCTCGAGCATGGCCAACTCCTACCAGTTGATATATTCATCAGTTGATACTCGACTTCGAGATTGATGACGTCACTCAAATCGATCGCCAGCAGAAACCCGGACTCCAGATAGAATCGGAACTGAGATAATATCTCATCTATTATCCATTCATCGCATACCGTGGTGGCCAGGAAATCTCGATCATGATTATGAATTGGAATTCTTTATCACATGTGCGTCCCATTCGTGTATTCGATCATTCACATGATTATATAGGTAAATAACAGTTCGATCGATCAGAAGTGATCGTTCAACCAGTCCAGGTACTTGGTGACCCGTGTATATGCGCCAGGGTAGCCAGGAGTCGCGCATTTCTTCCCGAAGGACACAACTCCGATGAGATAAAATTTCGTTCCCTCGTTGTAGAAAAGAGGACCCCCGGAGTCTCCTTGACAAGAGTCTTGCTTCCCGTCACCCGCGCACAGATATTCCGGAGTTATGTCGACCTGCGAAGGGAACGTTTGAGAATTTTGAAGGACTCCAGGTGTTAGCAATTATAGATTGAGGATTGACGCACGCCCAGAGATTGAGTAAATTCGCATGGTCTCATTGCATTCGACGTGAGCTCCCGACTTCCAGCTGAACTTCTTAGGTCTGAGGTCCAAGCTCGAACTAATGAAAACTGTAGCGGTAGATCAATGTTCGAGAATCGAAAATCAGCGGCGGCGGAGTGGTAATATGAGCTTATCAGGTCCGGGCTCGTCTTTCGATGCTCCACGACCAGATTCGTTTAAAGACTCGGGAAAGCCGTGTAAAAGAAATGTCGAGGGAGATTTGAGGCGGCATTCAAAATTCTTCCCTCCCGCTCCCTATTGGGCGGATTCCATTACGTTTCTGCCAACGCCCAATAACTCCAATTAAATATTCTCATATTGATCGGAAACTTCCTGAACCTCACCTCTTTCTTGTAAGCTTCCCTGCATTCATTCTCCGGCCAGATCCGTATAGCCGCTTGTTTCAACACGTTGCTTCCCTTCCCCTCGTACTTCGTGTAGCCCCATCCTGAGACGATCGCGATCTCATTGTCGAGGTTCCCGTAAACTCCGTCGTAAGGAAGACACAGAGGGCCGATGAACTCGTTGAAAGTCACCGGGGTTTCGAGTTGCATCAGAGCGATATCGTTCTTGTAAGTCTCGGAGTTGAATTGGCTGTGCCTGCTGATCTTCGCGACTTTGAAATCTTCGCTAGCGGACGAGTCGTCCTCAGAAACTAGATCGTGGTCACCCAGACGGACCAGGAAATAGCGAGTGGGTAGATTTTGGCTTCGACTTCCGGCCACCACACAATGAGCAGCCGTGACAACGTGCAAGTTCGAGACTAGAGCTCCCCCACATGCTTGTAGCCAAGAGTTCTGCTGATTGTAGTAAATCGCTGCCATCCACGGATAATCCCCGACACGGGCTTCGGTTCCCCCAACGATACGTCTCAGACCAGCTCCGAGACCGCATTTCTCCGGGAGAAATGATGGTTTGCGAGGTCTCGTGGAGGAAACCTCTTGATTCGATGGTTTCCTGGTCGCTGGGGTTCGCGTAGTTGCTCGCGGGGTCACTGTCGTTGTAGTTCGAGACGGTCGTTGACTCGTCGGGCTGAAATATAAATTGTTCACGGGTCTTGCATACTCAGGATACTGAGGGTACCGGGAAGAGGGCTGAGGGTAGTATCGGTTGTAGTTGTCCTGCTGGCCGTACTGGTAAGGATTCTGGTAGGATCCGTACCCATTGTCGTTGTTGTTGTTGTAACGCGGGGCGCGGGTCGTCGTTGCCCTCTGACCAGAGTAGAAATACTCTGATGTCCATCGATAGGGACAGCAAACCAGAGGGAGCTGGTTCTCGTAGCCACAGAGGAAACTCCGAAGGTACGATGCGTCCCGGATCCGGTAGATTCCCGGGCACTGACGAACAGGACCGCAACTACCGGTCTCCCGCGTTGGGGCCCGGCATCCAGAGTACCTCCGCGGCAGAATGGATCGACCCCCGAGATCAGATGATGAATTCTTTGGATCTTCTTCGACACTGGCAGGCGTTGTCAGAAACTGGTGCACTGCCTCTATATGCGAATCCGTATCGGTCGCATTGAGGGCGATCGTAACAACTTCGGCAGGGATCGGTGTCGTACTCGAGAACGACCTTGGAGTTGTGTTGGCGGTCGATGCAGAGTCGTCTCCGGGAAACTGAATTTCGAGCGCGATCGCAGGCGAAAACAGCACAAGCGAGAGTATGACCCTACACGGCCACATTTTCCAGGCCGTACGCTCCGTCACGCCTCGATGAAATCGTCTCACAATCACTGGGGGATGATGTACTGTGTCCTCAATCTCTTGCCAGCTGCGGAGAGGAGTCTCACCAGTTCTCACGGTAGAGATGAGCGCCGCTCCTTCCAACGATGTTGTGTCTCAAAAGATAAGTCGGTACCCTTCCTTAATACACAGTACCGGCGATCTTCTTCAGTCAACTTTTCAGTCCCCTCGATCCTCCGCAGGTTTTTCTTTCTCCGATCGGGATCCGGAGAAGAGAAATGATGCTTTCAAAATCATACGGGAACGGTTTCCGGATTCGGACACAGCCTATGAAGAGCGCACAGAATGCCAGCCACCGTCTTCGGCATTCCGATTTTTTCTGTCGGTTCTCTGCTGTTGGAAAGCGTCTTCTTGCGATGACCACTGTCTTCTCACCTCTGCCCTTGCCGATGCTTTCTTGTGCCCCGTGACGTGGGATGATGCTCTTAAGACGCATCCCGTGTTCTCGGTGCTCTCTTGAAAGCAAGCTGTCACTATGATGCACGAATCGGTTCGTCGCGATTCCGATTTCCCCGCTCACGTTGTCGCTGCTACTCTTGACGCTAGATGGCCCGCATCGGGAACGGCCCACGCTTCCCTGACAAGAGATCCACTGTAGAAGCGGACAGGTGATGGAAAGCGATGAAGGGTCGTCGTATTCGCTTGCGGTTTCAAGGATACATAGCGAATACATGTATGCTTCCGTCTCATCCAAGCAGCGCTGATGTAGCCATCAGAGCAGAGGAAAACACACCGACTGGAATCTTCCTTCTAACGATTTTCAGATCATGCTTCCGGAGATGATCTCTGGCTTCTGCCAACTCCAATCCGGAAGATTCCTCCATTGTAAACAAGCGCATGAAGTGCACGAAGCGAATCGTGTCGGATGTATCATCTGACGGGTCGTGATCAATGACACCAGTCGGGAAATATTCCCACTTGGATATCCGAGCATATTTTGCGCTGGACTATCAAGCCATATCGTTCTCGCCTGGCCGAGTGGCCCGCAGAATCGAATATAATCCTGGACGAGGTCTTCAGAGTGCGTTTCCCGGACCAGCGAAGTTTTCGGCAGCGCTGTGCTCCCTAACCTGATTCACGATCTCCGATCCTTTCTCCGCCGGTGATGCGAGATGCAATCCCATGCAGAAGTACATAGCCTTCGACTTGTTGCACCTTCGCGTAGACATGGGGCACCTCGGCGCAACCCCGCTCATATGGAGAACGTTCCCTTGGGATGTCTCATATCGCGCTCGACTAACCTACATCGACCGATGCCTTCCTCATGATAGTCTGCATCCGATCGACCAACGCCCAACTCAAACCTTCCCTAAAGTCCAAAATTAGGAAAGTATTTATTTTTAAAGTTCTACATAGAAATAATTATACTCCATATATTTTCTACCGCGTTTCCTTGTCACCAGACCTGGCGAACGCGGCCTCGGGCCACGCTCCTTATTTTGGGCTCTCACGGGACGATGGCGGATTGTGACAGAGGTTGGGGAAAGGAGGGGTGGAGGGTGTTTTTAAGAAGGAGGTCTTTTCGCAATTTCAAGACCGAGTAGGTCTTGTTCGTGTTTGCGAATGGAAGGAATAGCGGAAAATTTGGTTTCTGTTAAGAATTGGATCGTAGCGTACATAGGAGAGAGACTTCATTGACTTCATGACGAAGCTGACACCGGGCGTCATGGTGGGATACTCCAGCGCTTGCTGCGAGAGCGCTGGCATGAACGGCTCGCATTGGTTGGAATTCGATTGCGGCGGCGTGGCTGTCGATAATTTTCTATACATGTCCGTGGCACTTCATCAGATGGGCGGGCGGTTACTCGAGTGGCACTGTATGGTGTAGTTACCGGCTCTCGCTCGAAACGAAACTCTTTCGTGATCCGGAGGTGTCCGTCGCGCTGACTCACTGCCGTAGACAGCCGAAGCTCTGAGCTCAATTCCAAGATTTGTTGGTAAGTTCTTCGATCACGGACGGTCCCGCTTTATCAGTAGGGGATCTCTCAGGAAAATCTTTCAAAATGGTCCTCCCGACTCAGAAAGGTTGAGAATGGTTTCCTCTCTCTGTGATCTGAACAGGGTCAACCACTCAGGGGATACACCGGGTGTAGCTCAACTCGAGAAGCACCTTGACGAGCATCTCTTTGACACTGTCGCAGAGCACAACCTGGGTCCGTTTGAACTCGACCGTTGAGCGATGGACTGAGCCTAATGATGGCAGTTAGGTTGTCACCTTAAACAAAACGGCCCCAGATTCTACTTGCCCTAATGCTTCTAGCTGACACATGTTATGCTCCTCGGTAAGGAGATAATGGTCTCTCTAAACGATCTGCGCACTCGACTGTTCACCATGTTTACACAACGAATCGGATACGGCTTTCATGAATGACCCATTCACGGCTTCGCTCTACAGACCTGAGCAGGACATGGTCTTCGCGCAGATTTTCCCATTCGGATGATCCCGAAAGTCAGCGCAGCTCCCAGAGATATAGGCTAGATCTAGGAAGGCACACAATTTGACAACGGGAATCGCCCAGTTGACTGGGGGCTTCTCCTTCCTCCATTTGATATTTTCCACCCGACAACAAGCCGTATGCTAGACACCGTATGTGTGAACCGATCATAGACGACAATGGAGAAATTTCCCAAAAAACCCGTGTTGCCGGAGAGTCTGAGTATGTCAGAGTCTGTCGATCTTTCTGTCAGTTTACTCGTTCAAGACCATTAATGTACAAGACGAAAACAAGGGCCGGGCAGCGAGTTCTTCGGTGTTCACTGAAGGCTGAAACCGAACCGATCGACTCTTGCCGGACTCGGCGAAGATCGGCGCCTTGCCCCGCGGAGTGGTCCATCTATCATGCTAGCGATTGGCCTCCGAGCGTCGACCTAGCTGACACCAGCCTTCCAGAGCTGAGTCGAAGACTTGTCGGCGCCGAAAGTCTACACCCTGCCAGCAGTCACCGAACGAGATTCTTGTCGCTCTAACGAAGGGGATGGGACAGGGGGTTGTGGGAGTCGACAGTCCCTGGAACGATAAAGAAAATCCGGAATCACCCTTCCTACAAGGTCGACTGCAGGCATCGTAAACCTCGATCTCGTCGAGGGAAAGCAACAAAGCCCTAGTTTCCTGTTCTATCGGGATTTTTGCTCGGCGCCGCTCCTTCATCGGCGGAGCGGACTCTTCTCTATGCCGACCGTACTCTAGCTCAAGAGACCGAGGTTCGATCAGTGGTATTCAAAAATCAATCGAGATCCCTGCAATTCAAAACCGCCACAAGAAATCTCTCTGACCTCTAATATATCGCTCACATCGCACTGTCTCATTTCAGTGAATTCAAGAGACTCGGCAACATGGTTGATGGCATTCAGTGAGGTCTGCATGAAGAGGACACACTTGATGACAGGAATCCATTCGAATCGACACGATCCGAAGAGACGAATTGGGTCTCCGCGATGGCTGCGAAAACCAAGCTGCGGCTCCCGATCTCCAGGTTGTCGAGTCTCCCCTCCATCGATAGTTACCCTCCCGATCAAGCGTAAGGAATTTAATCCAATTTTTTCAAAAATGAACTGCCTCGCGCCTTCTGCTTCGACGTTCAAGAACATCACTGTTTGCTTACACAGTTCTGCAGACTGCAGTCTCAGAATGCAGTGTGAACACTCGATCCCAATAGCTTAGTGTGCACACTCCGCGATATTTCCGTCGAATCAGAAGTTTTCTCCACAAGACCACTCCTTGTTCGCAGTCTCTAGAAACACACCTACCGAGCTGCTTCTGAAGGCCGCACGAATCAAGTCAAGCTTCAAACGTTAAGGGCTAGCAAGAAAGTAGCCGCGGATCGGTATTCTTGAATCGGGAGATCCAGCGCGTTCTGAGTGAGACGAGGCGAGAGTTTCGTTCAATGAGTGATACGCGACTCGTTCCGCTTCTGAGCTTGCATATCACGGCAGCCGGAATCTCGTGACGCGAGGGCAGGACATGGGGGTTAGATTAAGAATCTTCTAGATAAAGAAAATCGTTTCTCCTGCCTATGCCCGATGCTAGCCTCCCCGGAAGTCCCAGAAGAATGCTCGATCAAACGAGCCCTGATGAGAGAGCTCGACATTCGGTTTGTTGGCGAGCGGTCAGAGATCATACTCAAGTTGCAAGGGAGCTCGTCGCCGAATCGGAGCAGAGACATACAGAAGACGTTTCTTGAATCTGGTCAGCAGATTAAACGACGATCCAACGACTTCTTGCAAACATCACATGGACGTTGAATTGTTGAAACAGTCAGACAGAAAAAACATAGCCTTAAGCGATGTAAACATTTCCTCAACTCCCTGAGTTTCGGAAGTTCAGCTCTTTCTTCACAAGTGCACTATTCCTGCCGCTGGTGAATTACATCTGACCGCTCGATCGGCGTGCCCAGCAGGAGACCCGATAGAGATCGCCACGATTCGGTGAGTAAAACCGATACCCCATTTCTATGGTGGAATTTCATGTGAGCCCCCTGGAGGGAGTTCTAGAACCTCGACGTACGACAAATTTCCTGTAGAGTTTCCCTCTCGGGGAAAACCGTTGCGCTTACGTATACGACTTGCTCGATTCGACATTGATCTGTCCACATTCGAAGACTTCCGCTGACGCTGAGGGCGACATATGAACTTTTTTAATTCCTCTGACACGCAATTCGATGCCTTTTCCAGCTAGCTAGCTAGCTAGCTAGCGACAGGCTGCTCGCCGCAACCCTGTTGCTCGGAGCGAGTGATCTTAGAGGAACCTAATACTGTTCAGTGCTGTTCGTCCCCCAGGGGTCGTTTTGATCCAAACTTATGACATTCTGACACGTGATATGAGAGTTAACGAGTTAAACATGGACTCGTTCGGGAGTTTGTATGGTTCTACCCCGTCGTCCACGGGTACGATCTGATTGCTCGCTGGAGGTGCTGACAGCAGCTGGTTTACAGATGCGACACCTTGACCGACCTCTCATCGTGGTTCCAAGGTCTCTTGTGGACTTCTCGCGAGAATCTGTGCACAAATTTGTATGCTCCACGACAGAAACGAGAATCAGTGGTCATCAAGAGCATAGATTCACACACGGCCTGCGCGCTCTTGCACTTGGGCGAAGTAGCCTCGCGAATATCCCTCCCGTCCGGAAAATATCCTGGCCATAGGTAACCTCTTGATGCGACATGAGCTTCTCGTTGAGATCTGAGTTCGTTGCCCTATCGACTTGAGGTTCGAGGTAACGGAACAGAACGCCAGCCTGGTCACACATTTGTGATTCATCCTCAGCTCTGGATGGAGCAAGTATGGCCGCCGGCCGTGTAACACTGCAGAGGTATCCGTGAGCGGGAAGTTGATGGACGGAAAGTGAACCTCAGTCTTGAATACCGCGGTGTTCAGCAAGTAGGTAAGTTATCCTCCCAGCCCAAGTCCATGATGATGGTGATTTTTCGAGATAAGTTACGTCGTCTGAATTCTGAGCGAGGAGGCCGAGCGATGGCCCTGGTCCCGGTCACTGAAATCTCCGTAGCAGGCACGAAGCTCGGCATGGCTGACTTATCCGATGACCGACGTCCCCAGCATCTGTTTTGGATCGGATAGCAGCTGAAGCTCGACTTTTCGGACTCTGCCGGAGCAAAACTTGTGGCGAGGCACCCGACGAGCGAGGACGCTCAATTAAATCACGGTCGGGATCCGCGACTTTTGTCGAGAGCTAAGCTACAACTCTCTCGAAAAAGCCCCACAGATGCCAACTTCCACTCGGAGAACATCTCCTGGGGCAGCGGAAGACGCGAAGTCGAAGCCTTCTATATCGCGGGCTGGACACGATTGCAGGCACTCGACTCCCGGCCATCCCGTTGGCTACCTGGCTTGGGCACGAGGCATGAGGCAGCGAATCTGCGGAATTCCCGGAATGGGATTATTTTTCAAGAGTGCCATTGCCATGCCTGACTCCGGTCACTGTTTCTTTCGGACCTCGGGATTCGCGTGACATGCGCAGCCTGACTGTTTTCGATAAATCGTCGATCATGGAATCTGTATCCCGTGTCGAGCCAGAAATGCCCTGGTGCCCGGGCTCTGTTGTCTTGGTAGCGCGAGACCTACATATACGTAGATCGGCCTAGACAAGATCTCGATGCTCGACGATACACAAACAGCAGATTAATTACGCGAAGCGCCTCACCACAGAAAGAATAAGAATAATAAATCTCTGAGGTCACGACTCCGGCGAATCCTCGGACGGATAATAATCGATAGAACGTGTATTGATCTAGTCATCTCATCACCAAGTTCCAACATGTGTCTCTCTCGCATTGCTGGCGGTCCGCTTGGTTGGCCGACCGCGGTGGCTGTCCTCTCGCTTTCCTGACTACCTCGTCACGCTGAAAGAAGACCTCCAACCTGCTAGCAAGCCGACAAGAAGCTACTTCGACACGATTTACATCCAGCTCGGGTCGCAGCCGCCGCCGCCGCCGCCGAAAGACACCAGCTAGAGGGGACTCGGTGTCCCACCAGCGTCACCAGCAGTTAGCGAGCCATCCGTTCGAGCGGCCAACCAACCAGCGGCAGCGAGCCAGCGTCGGAGGGCCCCTTTCTGCAGCGGTAAGGGCCCGGGGCGGGCCCTGAGACTCCGCCTTTGCGCTGGCAGGCGCACATTGCTCCTGCCACCGGCGGATGTCCAGCGCCGCCGCCAGGAAGCGACTCGAGCCGCCGCCGTAGCATCTCCGGCCGCAACAACTAGTGCTAACAAATTTGGCGCCACCGGCGTTTTGAGTAAATCTTCTTTTTGTTGTTCTTCCATATTTCATTTGTGTTAGCTGACCGGCCAGCTGCTTTCGCGTCCGGCCGGCTATCTGAAAGACGACGACGACGGCACGGAACGCGGCCCCAGTTGCGTTCAGAGCCGCGATTGGCGAGCTCAGTGACCAGAACCGCAGTGCCTACGAGATAGTATCATCCCGTCCGAAGTGCAAGCGCAAACGGTCAGCTCTGAAGTTCAACGAGTGAAGTTCGGTGAACACCCAGTGAAACCCTGGAACAAAACCTTGTGCTGCTCTTGGAACTTGAAGCTGTCACCGTAGTTCGTCAGATCATGTTACCTCACTCGCCGGCACCGGACACGCTACGAATGTAGCGACGGCTAGTTTAGGTTATTAGTTCTCAAGTGACCGTATGTGTACCTGCTGTAGCCGACATCTAGGGTCCGTGAGGCGCGCACAAAAAAAAGTCTCCGGTAACCGGTGAGTTCTTCATGCAGCAGAAAAGTTTCCGTACTTTGAAATTCCCAAAGTAGAACTCGAGAGGGATCCGGAGAAACCCCCAAACCGGAATTGCTCCTCATTTGGTCGAGGACTCGGTACCGGGAGCTGGGAATCTTAGCGGTGTATCGGTCGTCGACTCAAATGGTCATGGGGCTCACAGAGTCGCTCGTGAGTCGAACCCTCTCCGATTTTGAGACCGCGGAGGAGCTTCCGGAATCCCTCGCAAGGTGGAAGACATCGCGCGACCAGTCACCATCCATTGGGGAAATACTCAGTGAGCGACAATGCAAGGGGAAGAAAGGCCAAGCGCGACAAGCAAGCCGCAAAAGTAGAATTCTTTAATCTCATCCGGTCGACCAGGGTGACTGTTTACTCGCAGCTTCGACCTGGCAAGCTTTTCAGCAAGCTTCGTCAGACACCATCTGTTGTCAAACAGGGAGAAACTTCGTGTTCGTGTTGTGATCCGAGCGGCAGCAGGACAGGGAAATGGAATAGCAGTTTTATACACATACGTATTTGATATATTCACGGATAAATGTAGTTTGGCAGACCTCCCGTTTCAATTTCCTCTCTGTCATTGAAACACGATGTGCCGTAGATCGTTCGAAATATGTTTAAGTTCGCGGTCCTCCGACGCGACATTTTTGCTGAGGATATGACGTCGGACGAGAGGTTTCTCCCTCAATGCCTGCATTCATTCGATGGCACTGGACTAATAATAATTCTGGTAGAGAATTACTCGTATATCGTCGCGGCATCGCCGAACTATCCGATTGAGTTCTCCCTCTTGGAGGGCGTCTCGGATCCCACGTGTGGTGAGACTCGAAACGGCGGAAACTTGAACGAGATCGCCGAATGCCTTTTCAAGATTTTTGTCCGAGCGGAGCGTTGTTCGAACCTGCAATTGGCCGGCTCCTTTCCGCAGGTCGGTCTTGCTCGAGTAGGATTCCCCCGGTCTATTTCGAAAGCACCGACGACTTTTCGCCGGAGATATCGTCCCGATAGAATCCGCACGAATCAGTATGAATGAGTTCCCGGTTGTTTCCCCGCGGGTCTTCGGGAAGAGAGGGCGACGGTGACGAGATTTGAAAAGATATTAAAAATTCAATCCTCGCACCCTGCTAAGAAGAGAAGGCGGGAGAAGGCAAAGGAGAAGTAGGAGGAAAATCTAGGAGAGAGCGAGCTCGGACTCCGAGTGGAGGGAACGAACGATTCGAAAATCCGATGGGTGAAGTTTCGACGGGAGAAATCCGAATATCGAGCGAGAGCTTCTCCCCACTCGCAGCACAAGAAAACAGAAAACAAAATCGCAGGGTCGAGCACATTTCTGAGGCGTTCGTCGATCGTCTACTCGCCTGTTCGAATCGGAGGGAATTCCGTCCGGCTCGAACGATGACACGGCTTGCGTGCTTCATTCGTACCTTATTGGCTCCACATCTACGGGTGAATCACGTGACCCGCAGCTACCCCGCCATCCTCCACCGCCGCCGCCGCTACCGCTAAATATTCAAGTCGACTGCTGCTCTCATTAGGGGCTGGTGGCAGCAAAGCCGAGAGGCAGAACCTCTCGTCTGAGGGCAAGGCTTTGTTTAAATATTCATAATAAGAGTAAATAATGGCCAACTGGGCAGAGTCGGTGGGTCGGCAGTCTCGGTCGAGCTCGATATATTCCGCTAATGAAATCTGGGCCAACTGCAGACACACCGCTGTCGCCGCCGCCGCCACCACCGCTGCTGCCGCTCCGACTACCGCGACCAGGGCAGTCCCGGTGAAAAGGCTGACTGAAAAATTAAAACGAGTTTCTCCAGCCGTTCAACTACCGACATCATCACTACCACCGCCACCACCATGGCCGCGACTGCCACCGCCTTTGCCATCACCAGGACCATTACGGTCGCGATCATCAGGCCATAGAGGAGCGAGCGGGGCAGAACTCCGAGAGCGCTTATGGCCCGTGTGCCCAACGAACCAGCGACCGACTCAATGAGAGATCAAGTGAGAAGAGTGGGAGCACTTCTTTTCGCTCTCTGATTTCGGTCGATTTGCGGGAGGCGGCGCGGTAATCGATAATTGTCGGAGGGAATGAAATAAACTTCGAACTAGCCCGCGGCCGGGACGGTGGTGCCAGCGTGGTGTTTTGACCGCAGAGACCGATGAAGAAAGCTCCAACAATGGAGTCTCTTGAAAAA